AATAACAGTTAATAGCATTTTTTTCCAAAAATAAACTAGTAAATTTATTCAAGCTGTGGTTGTTTAAGAGGAATATGAAAGCACTAACAATTTAATGAATTAGTTTTTTGATACTTAATTTTTAATCAAATTAAAGATTTTAAATTATAAAACATAGTATTATATTACAAAATCATTATTTAAACATACTTTATATAATTGATTTTATCTTATATGCCTTTAAGAAAAAGAAATCATTTTAAGATTATACAATAAAACAGTTGTCACTGTGCCAGTTTAATTGATGTTATGGTTGGCCTATATTCTGCTGTTGCTATTGGATTTTATTTTACAACCTTGGCTTACTTGGCCTGTTTTTTAGCATTTTGAATTCTTTGTTGTATTATTTGTAAAATTATCTTTGTTATTTATTATTAAAACTTAAAAAGGATAAACTTTCCAATATGGACCATCGATTTAAATGCCCATTTTTTTTGTAGTATATAGTACTCACTAAAAGAAAGCGTTTTGCAAAGTTTAAATATGTGGAAATGCATACTTTTTGAGAAAAAAATTATTGAAAATTAATTATTTTTGCAATATTTATTTCAATTCTTACGGTAAAACTGACGCTATTGTCATTGTCATCGTTGGTAGGGATGTCAATTCTTTCCAAAAAAGATCGATTTTTAAATCGATTCTAATCGTAAGCTGATGTATCGCTTCACAAAAAATCAATTTCTAAAATATTGATATTTTTTCATGTTTGCATTTATAATGTAAATATAAATCCATTTTATGAAAAACCAGAAAGATACCATAGTAAATAATCTCTTACTGAAATTTGTCTTATTTTAATTTATTTATTTTTATTAGGGCAGATAAATAAAATAGGTTAGGTTCAACTTATGTCAAAGAATTGAATTGATTGACCCCGACTCCACCTGGTACGAGTCTATCCTACCACTAGAGTGTTTTTATAGAGCCGGAGGCGCATAGGGAGAGCAGCTTCCGCCTGCTGTAACAAATCGTAGGCGTCAGACGAGCCGGAGCTGAGGCTGGTCGCCGAAGGCGACCAACATGTCGAAGCTGTGAAGGCGAGGAGGGATGCCTGCAATTTGTTACGCAAAGGTGTAGAGGCTGCTCTTCCCGCAGCGCCGGAGACGTTGCAGTCTCAAAATAGATACAGAAACCCCTTTTAATCAGTCCCCCTAATTTTTGTCTGATGAAGGGGATTTTTTTCTCATAAAATGGATTTATATTTCCATTATAAATGCAAACATGAAAAAATATCGAAATTTTAGAAATCGATTTTTTTGTAAATCAATACATCAGCTTATGATTCGAATCGATTTATAAAAACGATCTTTTCGGAAAGAATCGACATGCCTACTCACAATGACAATGTCAATACAAAATAGTGTCAGTTTTTCCGTAGGAATTGACATAAATTTGCAAAAAAATTTATTTTTAATAATTTTTTTTCTCAAAAAGTACACGTTTCTGCATATTGAAACTTTGCAAAACGCTTTCTTTTAGGGAGTACTATCTACAAAAAAAAATATGGGTATTAAATCGATGGTCCATATTGGAAATTTTAACCTTTTTCTACGTAGTTTTATTTACTATACTAATATAGATGGTTTTACACATGTTACACCTCATGAAAGAAATACCTCAAACCTTTCATGCAATATCTAAAAAATTCTCACACTTGTCTCCCAGAGAGAAAGGCAGAGACTATAGACTTCCACTTGGCACAATCCTTAACCATCTCTCTAGCTTCTTTCACGTCTATGGGTCATTCTACAAACCTGAGAAATTTGTGTTCGCCTAATGTAAGTTCATGAATAAAATTTCCTGATTAGTTATTAGCTGTGATATAAAATGGGACATTGTAGATAAGTGATGATTTAGTGAAGAAAAACGTGTTGACAATATGTGACATGTCACGGTCTGTCGACTGTTCTCCGATGCCTTGTGAAGGTTTAACGGCTACTTAAAAAAATAAAATCTTAAGCTACTAGCAAAAGTTATAAATTTTCAAACGATACCTATCCTTAACATTAAGATGACTTTTAAAAATGATGTGACTCAATTATAAAAAATATTAATGTTTCTACAAGCGTTATAAATTTTTTTACACAACTGTCGACATGTAAAGTTTTGAATACTAGAATTAGAAAGCTTATTATTTCAACATTGTTTTGCTTTTTATGGCAACATTAGTGCATACCTGTCAGTGACCAGTCACGTTTTGTGATGGAACAAAAGTGAGCTGCTGTAGGTTGTAAACTGAAAAGTAAACTGAAAAGAGGTTCTACAATTGTGTCAAAGTTGAAGAATCACTTATTAGAGGAAAAAATAAAAGGTTACTAACATGATAAAATAAATTACTACACACAGCCTTGTAGAAAAAAAATTCACATTGTTCCGAAACAACAATGTATATTATTACCTCTAAAGTGTAGCAAATAGATTAAAATTTGTACTCTGTCGAAGTCAATTCTGTCGATTGTTGCTTTGTCGACAGAAGTGACAACTCTCGACTGAAGTGACTACCGCCTATGTTTATTATGCATTAATCAATTAAACAATGCCTGCCTGACAAGCGTTGATTAATTGATTTGCCCTGGCAAATGAAGTATTACATTAAGTAATAAGAAATTCAAAGCCAAGCAGATTGCAGAGAAAAATCGAAGGAAAATAAGAGCTGAAAATAAATATCTAAGAGAGAGGATTTTGCTACTTGAAAATTGTTTAGATCGCTATAATATGGGAATGCTACTAAAAGTCGCGACAAGGCGCCCCAGACGTCATGGGAAGATGCGTCAATAGAACAGCAGATGCTCAAGAAGTAGTTGGGCGATATGTCTCTGATTGCGAATAATTACGTGTTTGCAAGAAACCTGCAAAGGAATCCAAATATTACCCATTGTTGCGGCACATTATGATCATGTCTGCCATTTCGAATAAAAGTACCACATTTACGTTCTAGGGTGCTTCTGTTTATATGCCATCTAACTGGGATCTGTTATAGACCTGACAAAATATGCTTCCATCATGAAATGGGTATCATCTTTTTAACAAATAAAACAGAAGATGTTGTTACTGGTTGACCAGTCACTGTTAGAATCTCCTTTGCCTAATCAAACCCTCCAGGACTCACTATTTTCAAGAAATAAGGATTATGTTAGTTTGCATTTGTTATCGTCAGCTTAGACTAATTTTAATATATTAAATTTCTATGAGATGTGCTACGGGAGTAACGAAAAAAGTGATTACAATATTAATCTGCGACAACCCTGATTCTAGAAGAGAGGAAAACGATGAAGAGAATCGTTTTGGTTTCACTACAATATCCATCCAAGACCCAAACATAATCAACTTCTTATATTATCCTCCTCAAGTGGCGAAAAGATCTTTTGTATGGTCGACAGAAATTATGTCACTTATCTTGTCTATTTTTGTTGATTTTTTTATTGTACTACTTTGATTGGTTAATATGTGTGCAGAATAATTACAAGACTGATGATATTAATAATTTGTTGTTAGAAGTTTGTGTTGATGTTATTTTATTAAGTTTAAGACATTAAGGCCAAAAATGTTAATTCCTGTAGATTTCTTGGTCACTCCTGTCTATTGTTAAAAACGGAAAAGTTATTTTTTTTAATTTCTTAGTATATTTAACTATGTCATTATTTTTTATATGTACCTTACATACCAAAAAATATTTTACTTAATACTTTCTTCTCTTTCAAAACCATCACTTTTGTCTAAGGATTTGTTTAAGGATATGTTCATTAAAGTTACCATTTGCAAACTGTACGGATAATACAATTATATAACTTGATATTCAGCATATTAAAGCATTTGACAGATAATTCACTTTTTCTTATCCCAAATTTCACACCAATCTCCCGGTACTTGTTTAAGATCCTAGCAACAATTAAATAAAGTGTACAATAAGCTTGCCACCAGCCCTCTTAGCATTTCTTATGATACTTTATTATACCTCAATGCCTCAACTGCTTTCATGTTTTTCATTGCATTCATTATTTCACCCATGCTTATCTCCATTCCTTATCTTTCTGATATTCCGGTTGATTTACTTCAGATGTCTCCTCGCATTTAAACACTTTAAAGTATTGCTTCCATCTTCTTAAATTCGAAACTTTGCCATTCAAAATATAGTTATTATCATTACACATAGCATTTATTCTAGACTATTTTTTTCCCCCAGGCATCTTAGGTATTTTTCTAACTCGACCTGTGACCTAAATTGGTCTGTCACTTAATTAAACTACCAAATTTCTGTCTCGCAAATTGATATTTCATTTATTCATCCATTACAGCATATAAAAGTCCATTGCTGAACATAAGCTTCTCACATGAATTGCCTCATAGGAAGAATTTTGCTATAGTTCCCATGCCAGGCAGAGGCGGGTAAGCAACTGCAGTTTTTTATTATTTACAGTTGGTATTATGAAGATGCCCATTTCCCGTTCCAATTTCCCTCTTTGGCCTATTACGACACCCATAGGATGATATTAACAGGAAGTGGTGCTGCCCACTTCCTTACATTTGCATTTTAAGATAATAACAACTCAAAATAAAGATAAAAACTGCAGTTGCTAAGCGTGGCTATTATGACAAATATCACACCAATGAGGCAACCTATGAGGGTGAACTATGTTCAGCAGTGGAATTTTGATAAGTTGCAATAAATGATAATGGCTTCTGGTCAGTCTATGGGAGATTTGTAATGGGCTGAAATGACCTTTCTTGATATTAAAATTAATCCATGCTGAAAAGCAAAATTGAAGTAGCTTTAATAAAAAAAGTTTACCAATAAAAGTTAGTGAAGTATTATTTTTGTCCTTTGACCTTGATTTTTTAAAATCTTTATCATAAATATTTTGTTCACCAATATAAATTTTTGCATGTTAAATTTATATTGTTAACCAATGTAAATTTTTGTTACAGATCAACAAAGTAGAAGTATTTAATTAAATTCCACCATGCATCGTGCAAGGATTGTCCTACAAGCCTCAAACAAAGTTGGCAACTGTGAGAGATTTGCATCATGGCTTTTAAACAAATCCCAGGTTGGTGTGAAATAGTTACACTGCCATTTGGAACCCTTATCATGTTATGTAAAAGAATGACATTTAAACTAACTTTGTTTTGCAGAAGAGAGACAAAAGCAGTTTTTAACTTAAATCTGAAAATCTCGAAAAGAAAAATTAAGAAAAAATTAACTTTAGCCTCTCGGTATATTTATAGAAATTTAATGTACTTATTTAAAACAAAATCTTTTTAAAATTATTGATGTGCATTCTGTAAATACTAGGAACAAGCACAAGCTAGTAATACCAGTTACTCAACTCCAAAGAGTCACTTATTCCATCACAGGGCAATGCTTTTTTGCATACCGTAAACAAAGCGGGGAGGTTGGGTTTTATATTGTTTTTACAACAAAGTACAAAAAAATATTCATGGCCTATATCAAAAGTTTAAAATTTTTACTAAGCTTTTAACTGTGGTAGAGCCACGCGGCAGCTTTTACTGTCGCACGGATGGGCCGGCTCGAACCGGGGTGGTACCACGAGCTCACAGAATACCAGCGTGAAGTAGAGGTTTACCTCTGCGTTTTGCTTGGTGAGTGCAGGTGGCCGGAGGCCCTTTCTACTGGAAATGAGGCATTCCATCTTAGTCCTCACGGGTGGCAACGTATCTGCATTTTGATTTGCAAACGAGGATAGATGTAGATGTCTATGGGCCGCAGCAACCACTTACCATCAGGTGGATTGTGTGCTCGTTTGTCACCCTTATCCTATATAAAAAAAAGAAAAGTTGTTTAAAAAGGGTAGTATACTATTAAAGAATACATGATTGATAGCATTGAGATCACTACCATTCTGTTTCTATTATTATTGTATTCACATTTTATTGTGAGAACACTTCCTTAAAAAAGGTCTCATTGGGTTTCAAACTGATTCTTTCCAGGAAAGAGACTTTCCCTACCAGTGGTAAAAACAAATGACGTGCAATGAATATTTTTGTAATCTATATTAGTTATTTTATTCATTTCCAATATTATTAAGTTAAAATGATTCTATCCTATTCTAATGGAATATTTATAATTTAAAATATTTGTCATCTCCAATAAAAATCTATAATAACAATGTCCTCCAGACATTTATTATATACATGACAAATATTTATTTTATACTTTCGGTCACGACGGCCGGTTTCAACGGAGACTTGCCATCTGTGCAGGACGGGATTATAGTGCTTGATACAAGTGCGCTCTCTATTCCCTTACTCTCATAGTTTAATGGGATAGTTATTCTTCACGACTGGAGAGACATCAGGCGCAGAATCAACGGTTTTACATGCTTTCTGAGGCACGGGGGTGAAACACCGCCAATTTCTTTCGGACTAAGATGGAATGCCTCACAGCCTGTAAATATGCTCTCCATACTCATCAGACCGGAACAAAGTGCACTGCTATTATGGCAAAAGAAAAAGGTAAGAGGGTAGTACGTACCTTCTTTTTTTATAGGATAGGGTGACAAACGAGCACACAGTCCACCTGATTGTAAGTGGATGCTGTGGCCCACAGACATCTACATCTATCCTTGTTTGCGAAAAAATGCAGATGTGTTGTCACCCGTGAGGACTAAGATGAAATGCCTCTTTTGCAGTAAAAAGGGTCTCCGGTTCTCTACACTCACCATACGAAACACAGCAGCATTAAGCTGCTATTTTACGCTGGTATTCTGTGAGAGCGTGGTCCTTCCCCGGTCGAGCCGACCCATTCGTGCTACAACTACACTACTAATATAGCTGCAGCATGGCTGTACCACGTATAAGAACCTAGATGGACAACTGAACAGAAAAGGTGTCCCCTACCACCTAGTATATGGTGGATAGCACCAAGCCCCTTAAATCGTGAATTGTCATTTATTTAAAGTGATGACTGACACTATATGACACATTTTAATTAATTTTGCTTCTTATGGACAAAACATGCAGGAAGTCGATGGATACAGGTGACTCAGGACCGTCCTTTGTGGCATTCCTTGGGGGAGGCCTATGTTCAGCAGTGGACTTGTGAAGTGCTGTAATGATGATGATAATGGATAAAACAATGAGGCGAAAGAGGGAAATGATTATCATCTTCCTGTTCAAGTCAAAATAACAAAAAAACTGTAGTTGTTGTACATACCCTATGAGGCAATTTACGGGGAAGACCTAAGTTTAACAGTGGACTTTCAGAAAAAAAAAAAGTTTAAATAAAGTTCCAAAATCAGGGGTTTTCAGTCAAGAAGTTCTCAGAAGCACCTTTGTGCCGAAAGCTGTGTAGGAAATTTCGGCTTCGGTCAAAACTTCGGTTGATTTTGGCCCTAGATCGAAATTACTATTTTTAGCTGCAGCTAGCTGAAGCGGAAGCTTCGGTCGGACTCTTGTTAAAAGTTAAACCAGAAGAATGTAATTTGTTTATTATGTAAATTATTTCTTAGAAAATTTCTAATGGTGTATTTGCTCAATACAGACTGCCGCTGTGACAGTAAATGCCCAAAGGCTGAAGAGTTCTACAGCAGCAGAACCCTTCCTCAATGGCTCCAGTTCTGCCTATGTGGAGACAATGTACAATGCCTGGCTATCAGACCCAAACTCTGTTCATGCGGTACGTGGATTTATTTAAATAATAATTAGGATTAACCCTATAGTTGCATGTCATATGGGTACTGTTTTCGGCTTTCCTTAAAGGAAATTATGTGTAATGTACTTTCAACATTACCAACATTAGTGTGTTTAAGACACCCAGGTATAAAACAGTCTTACTTGGTAAAAAAAAATATTCAATATCATTTGAGGAATAAGCGCTGTGGCAAGTTTATTTAAAAGAATAAACCACCGTTTTATACGTTGGCTTACATATTATGTAGCCCACGTGTGCACTCTAGTGTTAAGAAGGCTTGATAAAATTGATTAATTTTAAATGGTATTTACGAACTTAATAAATGCGTTTCTTAACCTTTTGGTATAATATGAAAGATATCGTAATGCAAAATGAATTCTTCAACATGGCATCATATGTATGATGCAAACAAAAACTGATGTTTATTGTTATATAAAACACAATATGAATTCTGTATAAAATATTGAGCAACTTTGGAATTTGATGGTTAAATGAGGTAATATTTTTTATTGTTTCCTTTGATCGTTAAAAGCGAACTTAGAAGAAAGGCGACTATATCTTGAAGAAAACAATTTCTAAAAATATTGTATTATCAATTAATATCTGTTTGGTGAGTACAGACGATAAGTGCTAAGTAATCAATGAATTAGGTATTTATTGTCTCTTCTGTATCTATACTTTGTGTTTACCAAAATAAATTGTTTATTAACTGAAAATATTTTAAATTTAAATGCCGAATGTCATCACCGGGTAACAAAAACTCTAAATAAATGATAGATACTTTATCAATGCGTTTTATCTTTTCAATGCATTACATACGTTGACGTAAGACGTATTGTGTAAGTTAAATATAATCGTAAGAAGTTTAAAAATTGTGTTTCGTTAAAGTATAATAATATGAAATTATATAATTTGTATTAGTAATGTATCATTGGTTATTGAAAAAGGTCGGTCATTGAAATCGTGCAAGCGTGCAAGGCCAATTTGCAGGTTCATTCCAACTCTATCTAGATATTCTTTGATGCGACTTCGTGTGAGTTTGATAAACCTACCTAATCCACTAACAAGCGGTTAACAAATACGTTGACACAATGACTGTGTTACGTAGTTTACAGACTATCGAGACGAATAAAGTGATATGCCTAAGCTTAGGAACAAGAAAAATGTTTTAATAATTTTTTAATTTAAAATCGTGGTCAAGTGAACCAGGTCAATAAGTTTTTCGTCACTCAGGGTCACGGTACAAAATAACGTAGGTCTGTAGTTAGTTACATTGTATTGGGATTCCGTTTGCTATACCCGCATAATATCTTTTAATATTAATAATGAAAGTACATCATCAAATATGCGGGTTAAGAAACGTAATTACGATTACAACGTGAGTTACGATTTACATAAAAAGAAAAAAACGAAAAAAAAAAAGTAAACAATGGTACAAGAAAAATGTATTAATTTGTATTGAAGTCCCTTAGATACACTTTTCCGTCCATCCACCCTCTGTTGGATCTTTTGTCTCTTTGCTTTCCAAATTAAATAACTAACGATCTAAAGCGATGGTTCACAATAGTTAAGATTACGGACTGATAAACTTAGTCGAATCGAATTGCTTCGAATCCGCCATTCGACTGCTAGTAGTTTAGATGGTGTGAATCACATCTACTATAAGAATTATAAGCTTTGTTTGAATAGATAATTCTCCAGGTACCTACTAGAAGTGTCTTATAAGACAGTATAGTAGCTTTATTACTGTTGTAGATAATGTAGTTTTTAACTTCCAAGACCTACCGGATTGGCGATCGCCATACTAGACATCTCACATTTTTCTTCCCAACGCTCGTGGAAGTATATTTTTTTTGGTATGTGTGAAAGGTTATTAAATCATTATACGGCCATTTATCATAAGTCATGGTCGTATTGGCATAACATGATAAATTTGCCTTTTACGAAACCTACGGGATAAGATTAGGTGAAACATTCTCTTTCTTATGGCGGCTGTACACGCTCGTCGAGACACCACGACACAGGCCGAGTACGAGTGTGTACATGGTGCCCTCGTAGCGTCGCGTCTTGCGGCCCTCGTTCGCTCTCGGAAGCATGTCGGTTTTTTGCGCTCGAGTCAAAGGGTCTCGTGAGTCTCGTGATGAAAACGAGAGCACACTGTACACACTCGTTCGTTTTCTGATAATTATAAAAATTATCAAAAAAAAAAATGGTTCAATATTGTTAAATACAATATAGGTACTTACATGGTTTTATACAGTGGATAGAAACCATGCACCATGGCTTATTAATTTTCTTTTAATTGGAAATATGTAAAAAATTATAATAAAATATAGCAAAGGCAAAACACAGCAACAGTTTCTTCTACGTCTATCGCAGTGGGCATCCGGAGTTCAAGTGATACAACGAGTATGTACACGGTGTGCTCTCGTATCAAACTTCTACGCGACGAGAGGCTCTCGAGGCGACGCGACGAGCGTGTACAGCCGCCATTATACCTCCAACACATGATATGTAGTGGAAAAGGAAGTGAAAATAGATTTATAAGAAGAAACTTAAAACCTTAAAAAAACGTTTTGGGCAAATCACTTAGGGTTACCATTTGAATTAATTAGATAATGTACTGAACACACACGTTACCTACGCGAATGTCAAAAGTGTTCCGATTATTTGTGATAGCTCATACCAAAACGAGAAGAAATTATTCATCAAGGGTATGAAAAATGTACTTTCGTCAAAGTGGTATGGAACTGATTAATTGGACCACCCGTTACTATTTTTTTAATAAAAACGTTACCCCCACACTAGGATTTCCTTCTTTATCGTGGAGGCAGTTTACAAACACAAATTGCACAAGGAGAAACATCCAGACCCGGAATAATTATTTGTAGGCCATACAAATACTTGATCCGTGCGGGATTCGCGCGTAGGTACCTAATATGGGAAGCCAATTTGATATTGTCGCATTTCTTATCGTTTTATCGTCATTCTTACTGCTCTGGACAAATATTTGCATGTTATTAGACTAAGCGTCGGTCTAATTGTTTCTCAGATCTCGATCTTTTGAGCAAAATATGTTTTTTAACCTACACAGTCGTGGGACGCATTCTTCCGCAATGCGACAAACGGTGCACAACCCGGCCTTGCCTACACTCCGCCACCCAATTTGGCGCCTTTTTCTAAAAATGAGGTGCCACTTTCGTCGCTTGTGCCTGCTTCTGCTGGAATGCCTTCGATTGCTTCAGGTAACATGGATAAATTGATTTGTGTTTACTATTATAATTATTATTTCATCTCGATTAGATTAAATGTACAATTTTTATATTCCTTTCGATGTTGCTATCATACAAAATAATCTATTTTGTGTATCACAATAGTGTTTTGTAAAATGTGAAACCGTTTTACGTATATTCTTCATCTTCAGCTTTTAAACAGTCCACTGCTCGTCGATCTGGGCATTTTCTGGCCTGACATACTAATCTAGTACAATAATCGTAAGGTGGTGTCTTAAGACAATCCATCCCACTCCTCGCGATTGGTGTCGTAAAACGCGACTCGGGAAAGGGCCAGAAAAACTTCCAATAAATGACGGTGCCAAGTCTCGTATTAAGACGGACTCAACACTTACACTGTCCGGTTTCCAGACACAATATAGTAAGACAATAACAATGACCTATATGTAGTGCACGGGACAGCGAAACGGTTAAAATTACCTAGACGGGCGACGAGGAGTAGCGACAAAGGTGCGATACAGCTGATATTGCGGTTTATAGTGTCGATTATGGCAAATACTTCCTTCAATGTAAATACTATGAGAATTTCATGCCGTGGACTGTTACGGACTGATAAGGAAAATATGGTCAATGTTATAAAGCCATAAGATCTTTGGCGTTTCCCTTAAACTTGTGACAATCACGGGACGAGAATGAGTGTGATTGATTCTCTTACGTCGGCATGCCGGCATCACTTGTGTTTATTACTAATATTATTGTTAAATACAATACGATACAATACAAATACTCTTTATTGTACACCAAGAAAAGATAAAAATAACAAAAAAATATATAAACAACTACCTACCTATTGAGAGAAATACAAAGGGCTGTCTTATTGTTACGGAGCAATCTCTTCCAGACAACCTAGAAAAAGAAATAAATAAAAAAAGGACAAAGAAAAAAGATTGATCTAATTCCACAGGTTCTCCAATCAACGAGAAGATCATCGACGATCACCTGGCAGTGCAGGCTATCATCAGGAGCTACCAGGTGAAAACTTTTCCGTATTATTTTTATACACAATAATAAATGACTCGCTAGGTATACAATTATTTATTGTTTGCACAGTTGGTTTAGTCTTTTGTATCCCACCCAGTCACAAATGGAGTCGTTGTAGTTTTATTATAATATTTGCAACATTATCTAGAAAAATACTAGAACTCTGAAGCTTGTGCTCCGTATGCCTGTTGTTGAAATTATTAAAAAAATACCGTATTTTATAAGCCCTTAACAATTTCATACATAATGCGTTTTTTGAATTATTTCTTCCCCCTACATTTTTGTGTTGTTGTTTTTAATATGACGTAACACTGTCGACAATATGATTGACAACTTTATTAGTGTGCATATCTGCCTTAATTAATACAGTAATGATAAAAGGTATATTTTATAGAAAATTTTAAATCTAACAATCCACGTCCACGATTTGGAATATGTACGAACTGACAAGGGTGCACTTTTAAGGTAATAATGGACTTTTTAACACATTTAGTGTAAAAATTTTCAATAATAGATGTGAGATACAAAAATTCTAGCGGTTTCTTTATAGAAACATAATAAAAAGTCTAAGTAAGAATTTTGCGTGCAAGAATTTAACATGCTAAAGTAAATTAAGTCATTTCGATTGTATTACTGACATTGGAATAACAAAACGACGTGCGACCTGGCGACATTTCAATAGGGAAACAATTTATGTAATATATTAAAAATGTTAATGGTTGCTTGTTATAAAAAATATCGAGTCATCAATGATCAATATTCCTAATATCGTAAACATGTTTACCTGTCCACTAGTCCACAGTTTACTAGAATTCATGATTAAATTGAATGGAATGCAATGAGATTGACGACGTCAATTGGTCTTGGAAGCTGTGTGTTTTTAAAATAATTGACATTATGGAGATTGCGTTCGTAATGTGGTGAAGTCGCCGGGTCGTACGGTTCGTAAGTAGACGGGCCTAAACAATGTGGTGGCGGGTGCGTGGCAGGCTCGCGGTCACTTGGCGGCCGACGTGGACCCGCTCGGCATCACCACGGCCGAGCTGCCCGCACTGGGCATGCGCGCGCTCGGCTCCGAGCTCATCATGAGGAAATATTTCAACTTCGGTACGCCCCACGGGGTCCCGCTACCGATCCCTGGGACCAATCACTATATCGATTAACGAATATATACATTCATTCCTTACATATGTACATCAATCGCTTTGCGTCATGATCGAATAATTCGTGTCCGTTGTTCAACTTGTAATCTCAATTTCATGTGATATTAAATTTAGCGACAAACAATATAAGTACTAAAATAACTCAAAATAATGTAAACATTTTTTATATTAAAATATTTATTTTATTATTAATATTTATTATACAAAAAAAAAATTTCAAAACTTCCAAAATAAATCGGCAAGTGTCTTCTGTGCTTTCTAAAAAGTATTGCTTGCAAATATGTGAATTCAACTTATTTTTTCTTATTCTTATTGTTACGGTCATGACGCATTACGATGTTGTGTGCGCTGTCCTTAACTGTTACGTTGCGTGTCTCGTGTTACATTTGATATACGGTATTATTACATACATTCGATTAAAATAGTGATCAAGTCTGGTGATTGATAAATAAGTATTGGCACTATTGTCCCTTGTGATGTCCATCATGCTTATTAATATTTGATCAAATATTGGGAATTAAGCAGGTGTCTAAATATGGCATGTATGTGATAATATTGCCGTAAAAATGGACTTATTTGTTTGTAGTAGTTGTTTAAATTAGAGTAGAGGATAAAGTTATTCGCGAATCATAAAAATGCATCACTTTCAGGCAGCATATAACGAATTTTAATCATTATATTATGTATAAAATAAAGATTCGTTACTAACGGGCCGATTTAAAAAAATGCTAGTCTCAAAAATTTGGTCTTCTTCTATTATTATTTACTATTGGCAATATATATGCGACAGGCAACACCGATCCTTTTATATATAAAAAAAACACCTATTTGGAATTGGTTTATCGTAAAGTATTCCGATTGTTTCCGCGGTTCAGTCCCGGGGCCACCTGGTGGCGCATCACGATCCGCTGGGCATCGCCACCGGCGACCCGGCCTCGAGCGGCGAGTGGCACGGCGGCCTCCGCGCCTTCGCTAGCGAGGCCGTCATTAGACAACACGTGCGATTCGGTATGACCCCACCACGTATTGCGATTGAGGGTTACCTTATGGCAGGTGGACTACCAAAGTTAAAGAGCTTTTTAGCACAGGCAATAAGACAAAATGTATTAAATTTACAATACCTAACGTTAAACATTCGAATACCAATGTGCTCTTAAAGTGCGAGGAATTGAGTCTTGTGGCCCACAGTTTTTCTTGGTATTACTATATTGACGCGGAGTTTCAACGGGGCCCCCATATGTCTAAATTAGCAAGCAGACTTAGTTCTGCAGCATAAATGCTGTAAGAAAGATTAGAAGTCTCACAGATGTTGAGACAGCTAGATTAGTTTATTTTAGTTACTTTCATAGCGTAGTCTTATGACATTTTGCTATGGGGTAAAGCGATATCATATTGAAGCCATATTTGTTTTGCAAAAGAGAGCCGTACGAACGATTTACAACTTAAAAATTAAAGAAATAAACAATATTAACTTTGGCATCGCAATATATTTATGAAAATGTAATGTATGTACATAAAAACATAAATAGCTTTGATCAGAATAAGTATGTTCATACTTTAAACACTAGGAACAAACATAAGCTTGAAATGCCAGTTACTAGATTCAACAAAATCAGTAATTCATTTATGGGGCAGTGTAAAAGTTTTTACTACAAAATCCCAGCAAATTTTCAAAGTTTGTTAATAAACAAGCTTAAAAGTTTTATTAAAGAAAAACTGTAAAAAAAGGGTTATTATAATATCAAGGAATACGTGAATGAAAATACGCCCTGGGAATGAGGTGATCGCCACCATGCTGGATCTATGAAAATTCATCTAAAGATTGTACAAACAAAATTATTGTAAACTGAAATATGTTTAAAAAAAAGTCCCGCTGGGTTTTTTGCTGGTTTCCAGGACGGAGGTATTTTCTGAACCAGTGGTAGAAAAATTACTTTCAATAAGTATTATGTAATAATCAATATTTAATAAAAAATCATTCTATTCTATTCTATTATAATTAATAATTCATTTATTGCATATCACAAAGTATAAAGTTGTTACAATATATTTATAAAGCATGTGATATTCTGTACTGGCGTAGCATTTTAAGACAGAGTTTAAATGTTTATTAATATAAAATTAAATTACAATATTTATAGTACATAATGTTATTATTAATTAATTTATAAAATCTCAAACTAAATAATGCACACACACATTTATTTTAAAATTACATGTCAATAAATATTTTATCTTAATTATTGATATATATTTTATAAATATTTATTCTTCAGAAGTTGTGATAAAGTTAATAAATTGATTAAAGCGGGAATAGCGAAGTTGACTTCTGAAATCGTTAATGCTAATCATCATTATCAACATCATCATTATCAACATCATCATTATCATCATCATTACATCCTATCAAAATCCACAACATACGTCTCCCCCATATATTGCTTTCTACTTCTAGGAAGGATATAAGATTTTTATTATGTTGCGTTATTATCAGGAAGATATTGCCCCTTATTTTCTGTAACATTCACCTGGGCCCTTCATAGCGACACCCACGGGATGATATTAGGTTAGTTAGTGGATTCTCTGACGCCGCCACTGCACCCCGACTAGACTATAAAACTCTAATAATATAGAAAACTATAAAAATTAACGGAAATTACATATTTCAACGTTAAATCGTGTAACAATTATGTCTACGTTCATTTTTTTATAGGGTGAAAAACGAGCACACAGTCCACCTGATGGTAAGTGGTTGCTGCGGCCCATAGACATCTACATCTATCCTCTATTACAAATCAAAACGCAGAATGCCTCATTTCCAGTAAAAAGGGCCTCCAGCCACCTGCACTCACTAAGCGAAACGCAGAGGTAAACCTCTACTTCACGTTGGTATTGTGTGAGGTCGCGGTACCACCCCGGTTCGAGCCGGCACATCCGTGATACAGCAAAAGCTGCCGCCTGGCTCTACCACTGTTTAAATTCATTAAGTTTTATAGTTTTCTATTAGTGTCAACGTTTGTGGGAAGTCAATTCGGCTAACTTTGCTGGTATGCTTCAGTCATCAATTTTGTAAAAGGCTTAAGATTCCGTCCTCTAATTTTGTCAATCAGATATTTTATTGAATTGAAGGTCTATTTCTAAATAGCTCTTTAACTACATAAATATTTCAAGTCCATGCCACAAATTTTCAATGAGCAATACGTCCTTTCCAAATTGGTATAGGCATTAGCTTTGGCCGCACACGCCAAGTATGTATATTTGGTTTTTTCTAGTGACTGAGTACATTATTGGGGTTAGTTTCTAATTTTGCTTCTACTGTTGGTGTTTGGTCGTAGATTAGATTTAATGATTGAATGTTATCGTAAAATTTCTTTGTAATCGCATTAACAGGTGCTTGGGACAATAACTTGTAAGGTATAATTTTGTGACGTTAGAAGCAGTTTGGTTAAAATTAAAATTTAACAATAGATATCTGAAACTACTATAATTAATTTTACGTAAGGAAACTTAATTTGTCACACGAACGTGTTTGACGGTATCTCTAATTGATTTTAAATTTGAGACTAGCTTTTTGATATTATCGGTCATTACTGACATTTGATTAAAATGGCTATAAACATACTAACTATTGAAATACATAATCATTACCTATTTTAAGTTCTAATTTCATTAACACACCATTTTAAGTAGCTTGCGTTTATGTTTTAATATAAAAAATTATAATTAAAGCTAAATTGGTCATATTCCTTTACTAGATTGTAAGTCTAGATTGACAGTAGAAGGGTACAGGCTATCTAGAATCTAGGCAAATGTATTTTATTGTAAATAAGAGTAAAATAATGGGACTACTAAATAATTTTTAAGTAATAATAACGCATTATAAATATTTCGAATGTGATTGATAAAGGTATAACTACCCGTTGTGTATGATGGCACATTATTTTATTTTTACCACAAAATGAATCAGTTTATATTGATTTCTCTTATCACATTTGTATACATTTATCAATCGGTAGTTTTCTTAGCAAATGTAGAATGAGTCATAATAGTATAATATACTTTAAACTACTATTGTAAGTCGACAAACCACTTGAATGGGAAGGTAGACTCTGATAAGATACAAAATAAAAACATGATATCAGTAACCACATGCCAGAATTGATTTGCTAGTAACAATTAACAATATATATACCTAAAGCTTCTTGCACTCTTAAACAATAAAACTTAGTGCTTCTATTTCATATGTATTAAATAAATTACATGTCCAAGTATACTAACATCGTCGTTGTATCGATTGTTTTTTAATCGATTTCTTTACATTTAAGATATTAGGATATCTACATATAACACTACTGCTAATAGGACAATAAACTAATACATATTTGTATATGATATTGTAATCATAATAAATGAATAGAACTTTATTTCCATTACAAATATTTTTACTTATTGAATTACATTTGATTAAATCATCAATGTTGAATGCGTTATATTATAGTACATATTAATCTTTATTCGTATTGCTTACGCATTAGTTATTATAACACTTCCATTGCGTTTCTTATGAACTAAATCATATAATAACTTAAATTCGCAGTAAATTTATGAGTTGTTTGTAATAATTATAAAAAAGTTTGTTTAAATTATAAACAATTATTGTTTATGATTTAAATTTTGTTGAAATCATCGCATATCATAATTTTTTTTTAGTTTTTTATTTTGCGCTTTTTATTATTTATGGTTATAACAGAACACCTAACACGATTTTGTAGTATTACCGCTTACTTAACAAGTATAAACTAAAAAAAACAGATCCGAGGACATCATATAGCGAAACTCGACCCATTGGAAATAGCAAACCACGAATTGGCTGGTAAAAACCCGAGGGAGGTGATTCACAACAGCTACAGGTTTGGTAAGGAGACTAGAGAACCTGGCATAACTACACGTAGTTATGGTTGAGCAGTTCAATGCAAGAAAAATATTAATAACATTACATATTTATAGTACGTAAATACGGCTGCCAATCGGACCCCTACCCTACCATTTTTTAGTTGGTTTAACGTTACCAAATTACCGCGAAATCACTAATAATTGGGTAGCTATTTATACAGGGTTTATTTTTCAAAGAGTAGCCAAATTTAAACTTAAATTCAAATATATAAATAATGATATCTCGTTATTACAGTTTTTGAAAATACGAGAAATAAGGCTTCCACTTTTATTTGAAATTGTTCCAAATTGAATGTGATTTTTGGGCCCTTGGACTGGGACCCTTACGAATGTGTGCATGTGCAGTAAAATCAGTTAAAATAATGCATTACCACACATTTTGAATCTAAAAGATAAAAAGGACAGAATATTTGAGATTTTTGAAATTAATTTATCTTCACCATTTGGTTATGTTCCTTATTCTGAACCTTCTTTGAAAATTTGACCGGTTATTGCAAAATAACTGTATAACAGTTGAAAGCCACAGATAACGTTCCCTATTATAATATATATAAATTTTTATACAAAAAAAAAATAGTACTAAAATATATAGTGTAATGATTTTAAGACCGATAAATCGTTATAGCTAAACGCGGTAAAGTTACCTAGCGTAAATATTTTTTTCAAGTTTTAAGCAAAATATGCCTCCTTACATAACTTATAATTATAATTTATAACTTATCACGCTTTTGTAACTATAAAATAAATATCATTAGGTATAATTCATATTTTTACTATAAAAAACCTATTTTAGTAAACATTAATATTAAGAATCGTAGCAACATGACAGTGTAGAAATGTTGGCAGCCTTATTGAGTCGTCTTTTATATTTAGTACTTTTATTTTATTATTTACTTAGGCCATAACTACGGTGTATCAGTGACGTAATGCACAACCCCCTTGGCTCGCACGCCATTTGACTATATACATTATTCTATATTTATTTATTTTAAAATATTGAACTGCATGACATCATTGCGTGAAATACGTTTGGTATCACTATCACTCCCAGTATGTGCATGAGACGACATAAACGTTTAATGACTAACTGCATGGCTACAATATATCTAGTATTCATGCGACTGTAAATATTGCATTATAGTATCTTACTAATACTAATAATTATTATTTATGTTAATACCAAATATCAATCATATTTATCTTTTTGTTATGAATCGGGTAGAGAGTTTTAAGAGGCCGGCGACCTTGACGCTAATTTTTAGGGTGATCTTGGGCCGCGGCCAGAGAATGGTTTCGTCACAGTGTCAATGTTATCATGCCGTCTTTTTATTTCCACACCGTTGGACTTTGTATAATAACGACTTGTGCATTATTCCCGATAAAGGTGGTTTTTGTGTGATTAATTATGTTGGTTGTAAAATTGGATGGGATTTAGGCGATGACATCGTAAAGGGTTGTTATACAAAAAAAAAAAACATTGTAATAATTTGTAAGAACTAGTAAAGGGATATGATAGACATATACTTTTAATCTGCTGCTTTTTATGTGCTTGTATCTATTTTGGCTGCATTTCTATAATTTCTTTGATTAATGTATTTTTATTAAAAAAAAAGATCGTCATACTCTTATAAAGCACTATATGTTTTAGATGAAGCCGACATGGACAGAGTTTTCAAACTCCCTTCGACGACTTTTATTGGAGAAAAAGAAAAAGCATTACCGTTAAGGTATATTTTTTGTATGAACTGTTATATTCTACATATAAATTTATGGGGTTCCTGTGCAAAGCTGCTGCAAAGCATACAATATTGGTTTTCGGATTGGAATATATCATAAGTATTATAATTGTTACTTAATGTGATACTGTATCAGTATATGAAGTACCATCATACTAATACAGTATCATGACATCATTAAACATATACTTGTTGCACTGGGTTAAGTTTTCTACCTACAATTGTCAGGGTGGGGTGTACCTTCTTATATATTTCTACCATATTGTGGTTTGAAGGATTAGAGATCGAAGACAGTATAACCATAGGCTACGAGGCATTCCATCTTATTTCCCAGCGATAACATCGTGTCTGTAACCCTCTTGTTAGCTGCAAGTGTTTAATGGTAAGTCTACCACGTAAGGTTAGTGGTTAATAAACTTGCGCCATGCTGCAGCTATAGTATTATAGTATAGTTGTGGCACGAATGGATAGGCTCGACCGGGGAAGGACCACGCTTTCACAGAATACCAGCGTAAAATAGCGGTTCCACGTTACTGTGTTTCGTATGGTTAGTGTAGAGAACCGGAGATCCATTTTACTGGAAACGGGGCGTTCCATCTTAGTCCTCACGGATGACATCGCAACTGCATTTTATTCGTAATCGAGAATAGATGTAGATGTCTATGGGTCACAGCAACCACTTACCATCAGGTGGACTGTGTGCTCGTTTGTCACTGTGATACTAAAAAAACTTTTACATATACATATAATCACGCCTCTTTCCCGTAGGGGTAGGCAGAGACCACTTCTTTGCACTTGCTACGATCCTTGCATACTTGTTTCGCTTCGTCCACTTTCATTATTCCTTTCATACATGCTCTACGGTTTAGGGTACTCTTGACCTGGCCTTTTTTCAAGACGTCCCTGATTTGGTCTATAAATGTCCGCCTAGGTCTACCCCTTCCAACACTTGCATTCACACTCGCCTTATACACTTTTTTCGTCAATCGTTCTTCATTCATTCTCTCGACATGGCCAAACTATCTCAGCATACCTTTCTCAATTTTTGTCACTACATCTTCTTTCAGACCACAACGTTTCCTTATCTCACTATTTTTTATCCTGTCACTCAGTTTAACTCCTATCTTACTTCTTAATGCTCTCATCTCAACTGCATTTATTCTGCTTTCATGTTTCTTCTGCCATACCCAACTTTCACTTCCGTACATGAGTGTCGGAACCAACACCCCCTCATGCACAGCCAAACGAGCCTTGTTAGACACCTTCCGACTGCTCATAACGGAGTGCAAAGCTCCATTCACCATGTTTCCTGCATTCACTCTTCTTTCGATATCACTCTCACACTTTCCATCTCTTGTAAACTTTGAACCCAGATACACAAATTCTTTCACCTGTTCAGTTTGTTCATCTTCAATCACGATATTGCAGTCTGTCACTGCCTCATCTTTTCAAACACCATCACTTTCGTCTTCTTTACATTCATCTTCATTCCCTTTCTAACAAAAGCTCCACTCATAGCAGTTACCATCTTCTGCAACTCCTCGGCCGAAGACGCAAGTAATACTTGGTCATCAGCATAGAGAAAACATTTGACGAGTAACTCATTCATTCTCAACCCACTTTCATTCTCTCTTTTAAATCTGTCAAACAATTGTCCATGAACAGATTAAACAGCCACGGTGATGCTACACATCCCTGTCTAACACCTTTTTCGATATTAAACCATTCAGTGTATGCCCCGTTTATCCTTACACAAGCACTAGAATCCCTATAAAGAAATTGCATTCCTCGTATGAGGGAAGATACTGCTCACACCGTCCACGGACAGTGCTGACCACAATTCATTCCTCACCACTCTATCATAGGCCTTTTCTAGAGCTACGAACGCGCAGTAGACTTTCTTGTTTTTAGCCAAACACTTTTCGGCTATGCACCGCAAGAAAAAGACCTGATCCGTACATCCCATTCCCTTTCTAAATCCCGCTTGTGCATCCCATACTTTCTCGTCTGTTTCATTCACAACCCTTTCAATCAACACTTTCGCATACAATTTACCGACGACGCTGAGAAGGCTTATACCGCGGTAATTTATGCAGTCCTGCCGTGACCCTTTTCCCTTATACAATGGCACGATTACGGCTTTGCACCAGTCTCCCGATACTTGCCCATTTCGCCAGCACAAATTGAAAAGGCGGTACAGCTGTCTAGCCACCAGGCCCTGTCCAGCACTCAGCATCTCGACGGTAATCCTGTCATACCCTGCAGCCTTACCTAATCTCATACTTTTCAACGCTTTCACAATTTCATCTATGCTTATCTCATTTTCATCAACATTTATATTAGTTTCCGTGGAAGGTGGCAGATGCTGTACCTGCACTTCCTCTCTTTCAAACAAACTTTCAAAATACTCTTTCCATCTCTTTAACACACATTCTTCTCCTTTTATAATGCTCCCATCTTGAGCCCTGATTGTACTCAGCTCCGAGGTAGAAGTTTTTCCTCTGGCTGTTTTGATGGTTTTCCAGAAAAACTTAATGTTTGACTGTAAATCTTTAGTGAGCCTCCTATCGAAATCATCCTTTCGTTCTTCTTTCTTTCTAGACACAATTTCTTTCGCTGCTGTTTTCAATCTTTTATACTTCGTTCTTGCTTCCTTTATCTCGTCATCCGTTGCCTTTTGAACTTTTTGGTTAGATTTTGTTGCTAACCAATCCAACCACGCTTTCTTCTTTTCGTGCACAACCCTTTGTACATCTTTATCCATCCACACATTATCATTCTTTCTTCCTTTCCTTCTTTTAGCTATATATTCTCTTATATTCTCTGAACAAATGCTTCTGCACACGAAATAAACTCGAAAGCCGCTTATATTTCTCGTTTACAGAAAGCACCACCGTTATACCTGTATAAAATTGTATATACATTTTTTAGGGAAATCTTGAACCGTCTCGAGCAAGCATACTGCAACAACATCGGCATAGAGTTCATGTTCATTAACTCACTAGAGCAGTGTAATTGGATCAGACAGCGAATGGAGCCGCCCAACGTGACCAAGATGAGCCCCGACCAGAAGAGGCTCGTCCTCGCCCGCCTTACCAGATCTACTGGGTAAAATAAATTTAATATATTTTTAACTATGACTTTCCCCTTCTACTGCTACCGACACTATTTTTTTAATATTAATAATAGTAATAATACGAGGGCTGCACTAAAAGTATCGGGAATAGAATATTTCCACTGTTCCTGTCATATTAAAATCTTTTTAATTGAAAAGTCCTTGGTTTTAAAAATCGAATACCATTTTTTTATTTATTTATTTAAAAAAGATTCTCGGTCTTGCCACAAGGTTTTATCAAACTTGTTTAGTCGTTGAGAAAATGGAATTGACTCGAGAAAATTCAAGAGCCATGATTTATTATGACTTTCGAAGTGGTTTAACACAAAAACAGTGATGATTTCTGCATTTGGTGATGAAGCCCCATCCAAAACCACAATTTATCGCTGGTTTGCTGAATTTCAACGTGGACGTGTCAAGCTCAGTGATGATCCCCGTCAAGGTCGTCCAAAAACTGCAGTCACCCAAGAAAACGTTGATGCTGTGCGTAAGCTGATTGAGGAAGATTGACATGTGACATATCGCGAAATTCAGGCAACTTTAGATATTGGCATGAGTCAAATACAAATAATCTTGCATGAACAATTAGGTGTAAAAAAGTTGTTTTCCTGATGGATACCGCATTCGCTCTGTGAAGACCAAAAAGCGGCTCGCGTTACTTGGTGCGTCAGAACTTTCGAAAGATTCCACGCAGGATCCTCAAATGCTGTATACAACATCGTATCAGGTGACGAATCTTGGATATACGCGTACGAACCCGAAACAAAAAACCAGTCACGAGTTTGGGTGTTCGAAAATGAGTTTAAGCCAACAAAAATTGTTCGTTCACGGAGTGTTGCAAAAAAAAAATGGTGGCCACGTTTGTCTCCAAAACCGGCCATGTTACGACAATTCCTCTTGAGGGACAAAGAACGGTTAATGCAGAATGGTATGCTAGCATTTGTTTGCCACAGGTCGTTTCTGAACTCCGTAAAGAGAACTGCAACCGCCGCATCATCCTCCATCACGACAATGCGAGTTCTCACACCGCACACAGAACAAGAGAGTTTTTAGAGCAAGAAAACATAGAATTATTAGACCATCGGCCGTACATCCCCGACCTAAGTCCTAATGATTTCTATACTTTTCCCTAAAATAAAGAATAAATTGCGTGGACAGAGATTTTCATCACATGAAAAAGCTGTGGACGCCTACAAAACGGCCATTTTGGAGACCCCAACTTCCGAATGGAATGGTTGCTTCAATGATTGGTTCCATCGTATGGAAAAATGTGTCAAATTTCGCGGAGAATACGTCGAAAAGTAATAAATACATTTTTAAATAGTAATGTTGTGTCACTTCCTTGATTCCCGAAATTTTCAGTGCCGCCCTCGTAGTGTACTCGTATTTCATGTTTTTCGAGTGGGGTTATCTATATATTATTTACTGTCCTCAATTGTTTTATTTAAACATTTAGGCTGAACGGTTGGCAGTGATGCTATAGTTTCCGTCACCCAATCTAATACTCACAGGGAGTAATCGCTATCGTAAGAAAAGTCTTAGGAAACATCCGAAGGACCTCATAACCTTCGATATTTGGCGGTATAATCATACAGTTACTTATTATTACAACCTATCACTCGACGAGTCCACTGCTGAACATAGGCCTCCAACAAGGATTGCCACAACATGGCAATATTACAAATACAAACACAAATATTTGCCATAATTGCCACGCTTGGTTCGCAGGTTGGCAACTGCAGTTCTATCACTTTTGTACAAAGCTTAAAACTATTTTGACTGGCTATGCGAATATGTGTCAGAGGTGCAACATGTCTGTGTGCCGTGACTGCCTATTCACTTGCTAGATTTGGTAGGTAAGGACTTCTCTCTACCGAAATTACCAGTTAATCTAAGTCTTTCACTTCATTTAGGGCCTAAATAAGATATGGTTATAGTTTTATTGCCTAAATTTTAGGCAATAAAACTAACCATATCTATACATTGACGTAAGTAACACGTAATATTTTCTTGCAATTATTTTTATCAGTTGTGTGTATTATGTTGGATAAGATAGTTCCGACCAGATTTTTTATATTTTCGCAATGTCATGGTAAGACTTGATAGCTAACATTTGGCTGTAATTGTTTGTTCCTTTTTAGATAAGATAGCTCGTTTTGGCGTTTATTGTAGCATAGTGCATTTGTAGGTACATTGACGACTCTGCCACTGATGATCAATAATTTGTATGATTTTTTGTGTGTTCGCTGCCAACGACAAACAATAATATTGATTTCAATTTCATTTGAAAATACAAAAACAATTTCTGAAACAATAAAAGTAAAAATAATAAAATGTTAAACCTTTACATGTTTATAGTTCCACCGCGTTGCCACAATGCGTCATGGCGGGTTTCACATCCTTTTTTCACTCTGTAGATGTTACTCGTAGCAAGAGACGACAGAAGGAAACAGTAACGGGAGATGGGCAGCAGTGTCTTCCTGATGATAACTTAATATTAATAAAAATATTGTGGTTGCCGACCAGCCTGCCAATCGTGACAACTATTACGCAATTTCGGAGATGGTCCATGTCCAGTATTGGACTTGAATGGGCTGTTATAATGTTCGGTATTATTTCAAGATAAGAAAAAAATTGTGAGATTTAATTGACATAACCTTCGGTTTGGAGAAAACTAGAAAACTTTAACTACACATATAAATAAAATTGAGTCTGTCTGTAATATCAATATAAATGCCTTCTTTTAGACTCCCGAAGTCGAAGTTATTTGAAATCATTAAGACATGAATGAACATTAATAGATCCTTCCCAGGCGATGCCGCGGCGGGTCGATAGCTGTTTATAATATAATAATATTTTATACCATGTAAAAGGAACGCAGGTTTACCAAGCTTAATTAAGTCTACCGTGAATTTTATGCAACTTGTTCATAATTTTTTTTTTAATATTTTACAAAAGTTAGGCCACATAGTGGGCTGGAATCTAATAACAGCGTAGAAATATCTAAACATTTAAGATTTTAGTGACAACTTTAATGGATTCCTATTTAATATTCCTTTTAGATTTGAGAACTTCTTGGCGAAAAAATGGTCATCAGAAAAACGTTTCGGCTTGGAAGGATGCGAGATACTCATCCCCGCAATGAAGCAAGTTATTGACGTCTCTACAAAACTCGGCGTGGAATCCATCATCATGGGCATGCCCCACAGAGGTATGTTCTTATTGCTATAACCATTACATCCTATTATAATTCCACCTCTGAACACAGGCCCTCCCCTAAGACTGCCTTATATCCCCTATATTTCCCATAGTTCTCACACTTGGTAAACGTGTTGTTAACCGCAATTTTTTATACTACTTTGCCCGTTTCCCGGTTTAGTTTTTCTTTCTATTTGTGTATTTGAGGGCAGCATAAGCCACTGCAAAATTTTATACTGGAGAACTATTCAGCCTAGTTACCTTGCAAACAAAACAATAGCTCATAATAACCTGTAGTTACTTTTTATGTATCTAACCGCGTATTATTCGCAAATGAACAAATTTCACGCATTATAAAATCTTCCTAACCTTTATATTAGGTATTGTACACAGCATTAAATATTTTACATGACATTTGTTTATTATTCTTAGCTGATGCCAAATGCTCATTTTGTTAATAGGTCGTCTCAACGTGTTGGCAAATGTTTGTCGCAAACCTCTCCATCAGTTGTTCACACAGTTTGCTGGTCTTGAAGCGGAGGATGATGTAAGTTTTTATTTTCATAAACTATATTTGTAATTAATCTAAAAGAAGACAAAGACGTGTGATAGGTTGGGTTAATACTAAATTGGTACAACAAATATTACGTAAAGAAAAAAATTATATTTTACTTATATCTGCATTGATTTTGTTAAAAACAATTTGTACTATATTGTAGTTTTAGAGAAATTTAAAACTGAACTACAGTTCTCATTTGCTTACTGTTGAACTTTAAGGGCTCCGGTGATGTAAAATACCATTTGGGAACGTACATCGAGCGTTTGAACCGTGTCACGAACAAGAACATCCGAATGGCCGTCTGCGCTAATCCTTCTCATTTGGAAGCCGTCGATCCCGTCGTGCAGGGTAAGACCCGAGCTGAGCAGTTCTACAGAGGAGACAATGAAGGCAAAAAGGTATGATTTGAATTAATTATTGGTGTTATTTGGTTTTTAAGGTGGTTTCCTTTTCTTCCGTTACTGGTCTGAGTTGGCGGTCTGACTTACCTATTTCTGCCGTATATACGAAATGTACTCATTTCTTTGTTCCGGTTTGAAGAGAAAGGGGGAGAGAGGGGGGGGGAAGAGAGAGAGGGAGAGAAGGGGGAAGAGCGAGTGAGAAGAGAGAGTGAGAGAGAGCGCTACTATGGTTATAGGCATGAGATTTGTCCTATTAGTCCTCAGGGGTAACAAAGTATTTATGGCCTTTAGTATCTGTCCATAAGTACACCACCAGGTTAACTGTTAGTTCCTTTGTCACATAATATGAGAAAAAATACAGGTGTAGTTTAATAAAAATGATTCTGACTCAAATATTGTTGTTTGTGACCACTACAACTACTCTTATTAAATTAGTATTTTGGTAGTACTTCAACAAAAATCATACGTTTCTGGTAAGAACCGTTTACGACAGTACAGTTTTTAGTATTATACAAATAAGATTTTTATTTCCCTACAAAAAATATGCCATAAGTGCTGTTTTTTACGTAGATATAATACATAGGGCCGATTTAGCTCTAGCGTATAACGGCTACTACTGCAGAGTTAATGGGTTGGTTTGATCAACAGCTCTCACATAATATGAGCGTAAAATATCAGCATAATGTTGCTGTGTTTCGTATTTTGAGTGACGAGAACCACTTAAGTTTTTGTAATAGTAACTAGGCGTTCCATTGTCGCTACAATACAGATGTGATAAGTGGTGACAATGTAGATATCTATGAGCCATAACATCACTTTATCATCAGGTGAGATGTGTGTGCTCATCCTTACTAGTATAAAATTTCATACAATTTCAGTACAAGGCTATGTTTTAGTAGCTAGTAAAAAAAATTTACGAACTATAAAAACATAGCCATGACATTTAGTGTCAATTGACGATAACTAATGACTACCAATCATTAGATGTTGTCACGTTTATCCCTCAGCATTGACATTGTTTTTTCTGTAATTGTATGTTGCGGAATTATTACACTACTAAGTAATAAGTACTTGCTCATTGATGTTAATAATATTAGTAAGAATGTTGCCACGATAGAACCCTATGTCAATAGGTGAATTTGAAATATTTACTTTATTTTATTAATAAAAATTGAGTCAGGTAGACAGAAGAGATACAAATCTATGCCTCAATGATTACCCAGGCTTAATTTTATCTTATCTAATTAAAATAATACCCATTATTACCCAAATCAGGTGTTCCAGATTTTTATTTTATGTCTTCCACCTTTTCTCATATTTAATAATAAATATTAATAACACGGGTACGATACTTGCTAAGTATACAGTTTTTTTTAATAGGTTGTAGTGTTATGCTACTCACGTATCATTTTACATTATTTTAAATTCATTTTTCCATTCTGTTTCGATTTTCTGCATTCACCTCAAAACTGGATATTTTACATCACCTTTATTTCCATAGGATCCTGTAACGATTTTAAACCATAAGAACACAATAACAAATCATTTCTACTTCGTATTTTCACATTATCAGCACTTTTAAATTGGTGTCAATGGAGTCTACCTTTTTTCGATCTTTTAGCTAGTTTTCCGTAACTCTACAATCTTGGACTTTGTGTGGGCAGTTGCGCTACCTTTTTTCCTATATCAATAATATCTCATTTTCCACTTAAATCTTACCGTTTTCTTATTATAAACCAAAAACAAAAATTTGACATATTTTGTCTTTCTTATTTATATCGTTTCCATGGTAATTATATTCAAATTTGCTACCGATCTGTTATTCCTATTTCGATAAATTCCACATAAATCCTCTTTTCTCTTGACCATTTACAAAAAATTTTGCGTATAATTTAAATAATTTTTCCGTTCTCTCTAGAAAGGTATAAAAGCCGAACAATCGGTGAAGAAAGGCAGTCTTGCTTCAGTTCGCGAATTGGAAGTATCTCCTAAAGGCCTTATCCCGGGGCCGCACTGCCCCGGGATCCTGCAAGCCTCCATTTACACGTGAAGTCTTCGGCGAAGCCTTCTTCAAACTCGGGCCGCGCCACTCCGGAATCCTACAAGCCTCCATCTACCTCGGAAGTCGCTTCGAGTCTACTACAAGCGCGGGGGCCACACTACTCCGGGCACTACTACTACTTACTCCAGGCGCCGAGTGCACCTACCGCCGGCGCTACCTTTGGACGCTGCAACTGCTGGCTCTAAGCGTTGCGCGCCCCTTCTCCAGGCGCTACGTGCGCCGGTTCCGGACGCTGCGTGTACTGGCTCCAGGCGCTGCGCGCCGTCGCTGCTAAGAAACCTACTTCTACAAGCGCAAACGGCGTGTGCTGGCTTCAGGCGCTGCGTGCCGTCGCTGCTAAGAAACCTACTTCTACAAACGCAACGTGTGTCGCTTCGACTTTTAGGCCCCACTTCAACGCTATATTCCCCTATTCTCTCACCTTTATTTTTTTTTATAATCTAATTGTATTCTCACTTCATCCATCATCATCCTCACATCATTTTTTTTATAAAATTGTAAATACCTTTTATAAATTTAAATATATTGTTTTTCTGGCTCTACTTTTGTTGTTTTGTTGTACTTAGGTTAGGTTCTATTTTTTTTTTAATTGTCGCTTCACGACATTTGGCGCCCAACGTAAAAGTTCTCTTTCTCTCTTAATTCTTCACCTTTACTGCGCCTTGTCCATTCCCTTTTGATTTAATTGCTCTCCCTTTCGTTCTTAAATCATTCATTTATTCATCCTTTTCATACCTTCCAAATTCTAAAACAACACTTCATCTAGTGTTTCAACTTATCTGGATTATATTTAGACCTACATTTAACACTTACATTCATCACTTTAATATTTTTATTGTAGATAACCTTCCAAATTCTAAAACAACACTTCATCTAGTGTTTCAACGTATCTGGATTATATTTAGACCTACATTTAACACTTACATTCATCACTTTAATATTTTTATTGTAGATAATCCTTCCAAATTCTAAAACAACACTTCATCTAGTGTTTCAACTTATCTGGATTATATTTAGACCTACATTTCTCACAACACTTACATTCATCACTTTAATATTTTTATTGTAGATAACTTTCCAAATTCTAAAACAACACTTCATCTAGTGTTTCAACTTATCTAGACTATATTTAGACCTACATTCAACACTTCACTTACATTCATCACTCTAATATTTTTATTCTAGGTAACTTAAAGAGGTATAACTTTTCAATTAAATCTTTATTTCTTAAACTTAACTTTGAACTTTACACTTTATATAAAATTGTTTTTCAAAGCTGAAGCGAGACGATTCATAACTTTTCTAAGCATTTACTAACTGTTAATTTGTATATATGTATAAATATCTAAACATTTATTAACTGCTAATTTGTATATATGTATAAATATCACATTTAATTTGTATATATGTATAAATATCACCATCATTTTCACCTTGTTATTATTTCTTTTAATTTGTTTGTTTGTTTGGTAGGTTAATCTTCACTTCTTATTATTTCAGACACATCTCACTAGTGATGTTGCTGATCTCTGGTTTTGAGCCCTACCGCTCTGGCCGTTCATTATCTTTACTTAAGTCATAGCGACTAAAGCTTGCTTAAGATTGATTTCTTTATCTTTATCTTCACGCAGGAGCGGATGACAACTCCTTAAATAAGCCTGAATGTCCTTTCGAAAACACACTTTTAAGAGTGGTGTTTCTTCGACTAATTTATTTTTTTTTTCCACGCAGGAGCGGATGACTACTCCTTAAATAAGCCTTAATGTCGTTTCGAAAACACACTTTTAGAGTGGTAGTCATTGAATGTGAACTCCACCCTTACCTGAATGGCAGATGATGTATGTAAGAGATAGTATATCTGATTTTGCCTGGTGATGTCTGTTTCTGCAAAGCTGTGTTTTTATGGTTTATTTTAGAATGTATATATCAAAATTTTTGCTGAGTCAAAAATTTTCCAGGGTCGGGGGGAAAATGTAGTGTTATGCTACTCACGTATCATTTTACATTATTTTAAATTCATTTTTCCATTCTGTTTCGATTTTCTGCATTCACCTCAAAACTGGATATTTTACATCACCTTTATTTCCATAGGATCCTGTAACGATTTTAAACCATAAGAACACAATAACAAATCATTTCTACTTCGTATTTTCACATTATCAGCACTTTTAAATTGGTGTCAATGGAGTCTACCTTTTTTCGATCTTTTAGCTAGTTTTCCGTAACTCTACAATCTTGGACTTTGTGTGGGCAGTTGCGCTACCTTTTTTCCTATATCAATAATATCTCATTTTCCACTTAAATCTTACCGTTTTCTTATTATAAACCAAAAACAAAAATTTGACATATTTTGTCTTTCTTATTTATATCGTTTCCATGGTAATTATATTCAAATTTGCTACCGATCTGTTATTCCTATTTCGATAAATTCCACATAAATCCTCTTTTCTCTTGACCATTTACAAAAAATTTTGCGTATAATTTAAATAATTTTTCCGTTCTCTCTAGAAAGGTATAAAAGCCGAACAATCGGTGAAGAAAGGCAGTCTTGCTTCAGTTCGCGAATTGGAAGTATCTCCTAAAGGCCTTATCCCGGGGCCGCACTGCCCCGGGATCCTGCAAGCCTCCATTTACACGTGAAGTCTTCGGCGAAGCCTTCTTCAAACTCGGGCCGCGCCACTCCGGAATCCTACAAGCCTCCATCTACCTCGGAAGTCGCTTCGAGTCTACTACAAGCGCGGGGGCCACACTACTCCGGGCACTACTACTACTTACTCCAGGCGCCGAGTGCACCTACCGCCGGCGCTACCTTTGGACGCTGCAACTGCTGGCTCTAAGCGTTGCGCGCCCCTTCTCCAGGCGCTACGTGCGCCGGTTCCGGACGCTGCGTGTACTGGCTCCAGGCGCTGCGCGCCGTCGCTGCTAAGAAACCTACTTCTACAAGCGCAAACGGCGTGTGCTGGCTTCAGGCGCTGCGTGCCGTCGCTGCTAAGAAACCTACTTCTACAAACGCAACGTGTGTCGCTTCGACTTTTAGGCCCCACTTCAACGCTATATTCCCCTATTCTCTCACCTTTATTTTTTTTTATAATCTAATTGTATTCTCACTTCATCCATCATCATCCTCACATCATTTTTTTTATAAAATTGTAAATACCTTTTATAAATTTAAATATATTGTTTTTCTGGCTCTACTTTTGTTGTTTTGTTGTACTTAGGTTAGGTTCTATTTTTTTTTAATTGTCGCTTCACGACAAGGTTAAGGGTGACAAGCGAGCAGTCCAGTCCACGTGATGGTAAGTGGTTGCTGTGGCCTATAGACATTTACATCTATACTCGTTTGCGAATAAAATGCAGATGCGTTGTCAGCCGTGAGGACTAACATGTAATACCTCTTTTCCAGTAAAAAGAGTCTCCGGTTCTCTACACCTACCATACGAAACAGCAGCATTAAGCTGCTATTTTGCGCTGGTATTCTGTGAGATGATTGTTTACCAGAGTTACAAAACAACTGTTTAGTTGCTCTGTTGGAAAGTACATTGTCAGTGAAAAAGGTCATTGGTATGAATTTTTCTATTACAGGTTATGTCGATCCTGCTCCACGGTGATGCGGCGTTTGCTGGTCAGGGCGTAGTGTTCGAGACAATGCACTTGTCGGACCTGCCGGCCTACACGACGCACGGCACCGTACACATCGTCGTCAACAACCAGATCGGCTTCACCACCGACCCGCGCCACTCGCGCTCCTCCGCCTACTGCACAGGTGTGTTCGCGGCACTAACGTACACGCACTGTGTACACGTCGGACCACCTCCGCATAATCTTAGGTGTTCTCACGGCACTAACGCACACACACTGTACATACGTAAGACCACCTCCGCTTACTGCTCAGGAGTTCTCGCGGCACTAACGCACACACACTGTACATACTTTAGACCACCTTCGCTTACTGCTCAGGTGTTCTCGCGGCACTAACGCACACAATGTACACAAGTTGAATCTCCTCTGGGTAGTGTACGGGCATTCTCGCGGAACTTAAGCTGGGTTTATATTTGTCTCATGTGTTTTGTCGAGCCGGGCTCTGACGTGATGGTTAGCTTTCATATATAAGTCGTGTTCCGACGCCCTCTGACGATATTTTGAATCAAAGTTTCAGACATTATTCATATCATAACACTTCCCCATGTTTTTCCGTGTATCATCCGACTCTGATTCAGATTATGAAGAAGATATTGAATTTTTGGAAACTCATCTAAAAATAGAAAAAGAGAGGAAGATATTGGTTAAAGAGCTTGAGAACGATGCTCAAAGATTTCATCAGTATTTTAGATTGTCAAAGGCTGAGTTAGAGAAAGTTTAGTCCTTGATTAAAACGGACATAAAAAATACATATGAAGTTTCGTATATCTCTACAGGGCTATTTACTAGCCAAATTTAATAATTAAGTTCAAAATATGAATACCGATATACACTTTTTGCAGTTTTTAAAAATACGCGTAAATAAGGTTTCTACATTTATTTGAAAATTTGTACTTGAAATTGAATGTGATTTATGGGCAACGAACGACAACGCGCGCTCGTGTGTGTACAAGTCAACGCACGGAGCTTTTGTCTACTATTTACTTCTTTAATGATACGCGCGGTACTATAGTCTTTGCGTTATAGCATGGTGCGGGTGACAGCTTACACTTTTGGCGTGTCTAAGAGATGGAACATTGTTAAATCTATTTAAAAAGGCGATTAACGATACACAAAGCAAAGCAAAAATTATGTCATGTGTATGTGTAAACAATTATTTGTAGAAAAGGTAGTTGAAATGACAGATCGGCGCGATTTAAATAATGGTTACTCAGGCGGCGCGAGCGTAGCGTCTAGCTATTTTTTTTTTTTTTTTTTGCGCCCGAAGCAATTTGAAAAGGGCTACCCTTTACGGGAGGCGGAAAATGCATTACGCATACCACGATGGCTATCCATCGTGGTTATGTGGGACTCACTGCCTACCGGGGGACCTAAGTGATACCCACTAAAAACCGCCTTTGGGGACTGGCAACTAGCTCTATTAAAGCTGCATATGCCGTATCGTAAAGCGACCCTCTTTTGGGAAAAGAGGGCGCAGGCGGCTATAAGGCGCTGAGGGAGTGCCTGGGAAGGCAATTTGATTGTAAAAGGTTAATTATTTATGAAAGTTTAATTATGAAATTGACTGAGCCACCAGGAGGTAGTTCAGATCGTTTGACAGAGAATAGGCGTGTTCGAGTGGGAGTTCCTCGGCCTGCGGATGCGATAGCGAGAGGGAGTGGGGTTGCACACTTAGCTACCTCACGAACGAGTATGTTATTGAAACTCTGAGACTTTAAAGAAGTTTCAGAGAGTTTTAATTAGTGAGTGCCTACGGAGGCAGTTTTAACCCGACGTATTTACCTTACGATGAAATGATTAAATTAATTTTACAATGTACTTAAAAGATTATGATGCTCTGTAAGAGCAAGGAGTCTGTCCTGAGGGGACTTGGCAGCGCGCAATTTGCGTGCTAAGACTGTGATCTCCCCAATGTTGATGTTCTTAATAGCGGCGTACACCGTATTTAGATCATCAGCCACTGAGGGTTGTTCATGCTGTGCAGCGGGGGACGACCGCGGAGGGTCGGCCTTTTTGGGTCCCCAGGGAAAGACTGGAGGCTGTAATGGTTGCGAGAAGCCCGGAGGTGGGCGAAGAAGAGGGGGAGCGACCCGGGTGGGCCTTGGGTCTACCTGAGATGGGCGAAAATATCTCCTAGGTGGCAATCTTGACGGGAGGGCCGGGAATGACTTAGCATTAACCGGTGGTGGAGCGTGCCTAATGGGGCGGGGGTGAGGTGCGCAAGGGCAGCCTCTGTAGTTAGCCGGGTGGCCTGTTTGTTTACACAGGACGCACGCGGGTGGGGATTCGGCATTTTTGGGCCGGGGACACTCTTTCGTGTTGTGGGGGTCGAGGCACTTAACGCACCTGGGTGGGGCGGAGCAGTTGGCCGCCGCATGACCATATAATTGGCAGCGGTGGCACTGCGCCGGGTAGCCGCGCCTATGTGGGAGCTCAGCCCTAACTCCCGACAGCCCACACACTGTGCGTAACTGCCGGAAGATAGTCTGTGCCTCCGGAGCGTTTGAAAGAATAGCGAGAGCGAGGGGGAACCTCAAGCCTGTTCTGCTGTGCATTTTATGCACAGCCTCAACCGGGAATCCTTGGGACTTAAGGTCCTCAAGGATTTCCTCGTTGGAAATTTCAAAAGGGACGCCTCGGATGACGGCCCTGATTTTGCGCTCTTCCGGAAGAGCGTATGTGTGATAAGAGACTTTTTCGGCTGTGAAGAGCCTGGTGAGACGACGAAAGTCGTCGACAGATTTGGGGATGATTTTAATAGCCTCCCCGAGGTTGGTGGCTTGGTCATATTTTATTCCTGCGTCGTAGCAGGTTTTGGAGAGGCGGGTGAATTGGGCCTTGTCTCGTAAGAAGACAGGGGGCGGAACTTGCTTCTTAGTCGGGTTAGAAGCACGGCGGGAGGCCGGCTTGGGCAGTGGTGTTACTGAAACTGCAGCGGGAGCTGCGGGGACTGAGGCATCTACGGGGGCTGCGGGAGCGGCAGAAGCCGCCGAAACGGTTTTCGCGGCGCGTTTACGACGCTTGGAAGACACTGTCGTGAACTCTGATTCTTCGGATCCGTCTGAGTCAGACGTCTCCGTAGAACCAGAGCCCCGGAGTGTGGATTCTGAGTCGGAGTTGGAGTTGGAGCACTCCATGTCTATCTCAAGGGGCGCGAACGAGTTCCGGGACTCGAGGTAGGACGCTATAACGGGCGGCGGTGCCTGAACGGTGGTAGGAGCCATAAGGGCTACGATGGCTGCTCTAAAAGCTTGCGGGTCATTTTGGAACCTATGGATTGCATCGAGCACGTTACCTACGAAATTCTGCGAGGACATTTTCGTTGGGGACTACGTAAATATATAAAAAGTTAGGGGGATACTGTTCTGAAAAGAACAGAAACGCAATCTAATAACAGTAAGGGCGGGATCACCGTTCTGAGAAGAACGGGACGGTTTTATTCTAGGAGTTGTGCCCTGGTTCTCAAAAGAACAGGGCCTTGCTCTGAAAAGAGCAAGTAACTCCCTTGAAACAATATACACGTTACAATAAATAACAATAAAATAATTACAAAAACAAAAATGACAATTAAAAAGCAAGACCAACAGTCAAACCGCCCCGCCCGGAGACAGGGAGGTAATAACTGGAGTTAGCGAAAAAGGACTCACCAGGCGTCGCACTGCACAGTGCGAGCAGGACAGCGGAGGCGCGAGAGCGAGAGAGCACTACCGTACGGGGACGGATGTGCGGACTACCTAGACGCGACCGCTCGAGAGCGGTGCCACAGGCGGAATGTAGCGTCTAGCCATAGATTACTGTATATATACTAGAGATAGATGCGCGACTCAAATTTAATTTTCGTTAGTGTCGTGCTTTGCCAAACAGATGGCGCTTAATTCTTACAAAAGAAGGAACTTGAAAAAAAAAGGGAAAAATAAACACATCAAATCCATCGAGCCCGGGGTCTTTTGGTTTCGGGACCGCCCGGTTATCCACCTGAGCTATTATAACCTTGTACGTAGTGGCGAAATTTACCTTCATATTCTAATGATATTTTAGCAGTTTTTCATTGGCAGAAAACACAGATAAAACGGCATTTTCTAAAAATAAATAATGTTCAATAAATAATAATAACAATTTAAGCGTAACTACCAGTGACCGCTACTAACTGCGTAGTGCGCATGGATCATTGTGTATGCATAGACTTAATATATAAGTGTGCCCTCTAGTGAGATTAAAAGGAGTCTAGCCTAGCACTTCGGAATGTAGATGGAAGCACATAAAACGTATCATTTTGTTCGTAAAATAATGTTCTAAGATGCATGCCCACGCGTCTAGCGCTGAAGGCATTTAAATTTTAAAAGCAGACTGGCTGGACGGTAAATACGAAGGCGCCCGGACAGCTGCCGAGCATTCCCGATCTCAACCGATACGAAAATCGCGTCGGCGCGTACGCTGCTTAGTAATCATATTATTCAAAATTGCCAGAACTTAGGTATGGCGTATTTAAAAAAATTTGAATCAATTAGAAGTCATCACGACACATCCCGACACGCAAATATAAATCTCACCATACTAAATGTATGGAAACCATACCGTTCTGATGCATCACAACACAACACGTCAGACAAATGTAAATCCGACTTACGCACACGTCTTGAACACCCGTCCTCCTCCTCCGCGGACTACACGGATGTGTTCGCGCCACTAACGCACACACTATATCAGGGGTCTAATATCAAAGGCGGCAAAGTCCAGTTATAGTAATTTTAAGTCATTTACAAAAAACTAATAACTTTTAAAAAGATATTACATATTACTGTTATAATATATTTATATAAAGTGATAAAGTGATATTTTGATACCTTTTATTTAAAGCTGTATTTTCAAGCAAGTCAGATAACTAAGAAACTTAAATAATATGATGGACATTGCCACATTTGTTAGTAAAGTAAGGACTTTACCGTTTTCTGCGGACTTCCAAAAAGGAGACGGTACTCAATTCGACGCGTATGTTTTTTTTATGTGTGTTACCTCATTACTTTTTACTGGGTGAACCGATTTCGATGATTCTTTTTTTATATGAAAGCTGATACTTCTCGTGTGGTCGCATATGAAATCGATCAAGGTCAGACCAAGAGTTTTTCAGTTATTTGAGTTATTCTTAATAACTTATATTGAAGTCGGATGTACAAAATTTTAAATTATTGTTATGGATGGTTATGAACTTGACATATTTGTTAGAATGTAATTTAAACAGTAAGCTGTCAAGGTTGTCAAAAAAACATGAAATTCAATTGAAATTTTTTATTTAACTTTGTTAAACCAATGAAATAAAAAAATATCAAAGTAATCGTTTCTAAACTTTCAATGCTGTTTTCCGAGCGAGATTCACAATAGCTATTTTCATCATTGTCTATTATTAATGTCTCCAATGTTTTGATTGATAATATTTTTGTAGTAGCTCAATTCATTGATATCTTGCCAACCTGATCCATAATGTTTTGCAAGTAAAGTAGATACATTATGAATCTTCTGTGGTTTTATTGTGACACCCAGCGAAATTTCACGTGGTGTAATCATCATAACATTTTTCTCTCGGCGACCCACACTACAAAGGGCACCTAAATCACTTTTTGTTCGTGATCTTTTACGTTTAGTTGAAACGCTCTTGGCATATTTTAAAATAAGGGTGTGTAGTGCTTGTTTAGTAGCTGATTTGTAAACCGCTGCATGAAATTTCATGATATCATTCATGGTCAAAGAGTTGCACTGAAATCCCTTCTTATGGGCGCAAATAATTCGCTCGGGCAACATGGACGATTCGTATCTAAAAAAAAAAAATATTTGTTCGACAGTAAAAGTAGCCTAATTCTGTTTCTACGTCTAAAAATATATTCGTGGAAAGTTTCACCTCCTTCGAGTGGGTACTGGGTAGTTACGCTGTAAAGAAGTAACAAACATCCATACATCCACCAAACTTTCGTACTTATAACATGTATTAGTATGATAGGTACAATATTATTATACATAAAGGATAAAACTCAAAATGTGTTACAGAGGAACAATTTTATTTAATATTATAAAAATATGAATATATTTAATAAAAAATATAATTATTATTTTGTAGTTAAAAATTAATTTGAGCGTACAACCCTAAAGAAAGTAGCTATCTTAGATTTTTTGACTTATTTTGCTTCCAATTTTCGGGATTCACGGCTCTTTTCCTAGCTTTATTTTTAGGCACAACTTTAGGTCGGCAGCCCATCTTCACTTTTATATATATATATTATTAAATTAAATAGTCTAAACACTTATAATTAAAGAAAATAAGGACATAAATAATGCAGTTTCGTTAATAACAGCCTTTGAAACAACTCGTCTCTGATTAGTCGAAATGGACATTACTAATTTTGTTATGTTAGTCAGGGACTTTCCCGAATTTGTTATAAAACGTTTTGTTTATGCACAGAAATCTATTGCATTTTACCGGATTTGTTCGAATCTCTCAAAGTGATCTAGTAAGAAAGATGTTGCCACTACCAATAAAATTAAAATCGACGTTTGACATTATATGGGACTTTGCCGCCTTTGTTATTAGACACCTGATATCATGTCGGACTTTCCTTTTATAAAATTGAAATGACAAACTAATACTAAGAGTTCACCTGATGGTAAGTGACTACTGCAGTCCATGGACACCTGCAGCCTACTTTAAACAAGATGATACATTGACAATTATATTGACTCTATACCCTTCAGGCTAACACAGCTGTGCACGCACTTCTTTTTGGCGGCACAAATATATAGGTATAAGGATTGTGTCCACCAAGATGAACCCTTAGAAGGAGAAAAGGGTTCCTATCACCTTGTACCCTTCAATATGTGTGTCCTCATGACCGCGACTTTTAGCCACGGTGACAACTTTTCAAAAGACACAATCCTTCTTATAATGAAAAAACGTAGTATGGTCCTAGTTCAAAGTGTGGTATATTTTATATGAATGGTTTGTCCCGCAGACGTGGCCCGCGTGGTGAACGCGCCGATCTTCCACGTGAACAGCGACAACCCGGAGGCCGTGATGCACGTGTGCAACGTGGCGGCCGAGTGGCGCGCCACCTTCCACAAGGACGTCGTCATCGACATCGTCAGCTACCGCCGCAACGGACACAACGAGGTCGACGAGCCCATGTTCACGCAGCCGCTCATGTACCAGAAGATCAGGAAGACTAAGCCTGGTATGTCTTTTGTAGTAAAACTCCTTTAGGCGTGACTTGAGGGTAACTCTGTTCTTTTTTTGGACAGAAGTAACGTTTAGTAAAACCTATAGTCCGTTGGGTGGTTCCAGTATTATTGTAAAGACAGCGTCTGACTATAGTATTTGATAAATGTATGCGTTATATGTATATATGTATACTAGCTGTTCCCCGCGACTTCGTCCGCGTGAAATTTATTACGATTGGATTTTATGGATTTTAATTTTTTTTGCGCGGAACCCTAATTCCTTTTCTAAAATAAAAGCCCAAGTTACACAATTTACTTATAACATCAGCTATTATCTGCCAGTGAAAGTCCACTTAAAATCGGTCCAGCCGTTTCAGAGATTAGCCGGAACAAACACATAGACAGACAGACAGACAAATATTTTAAAAATTGTGTTTTTTCTTTTTTTATAGAATAAGAGTGACAAACGAGTACACAGTTCAACTGATGGTAAGTGGTGGCTGTGGCCCATTGATATCTACATTTATCCTCGATTAAGAATCAAAGTGCAGATGCGTTGTCACTCGTGAGGACTAAAATTGAAAGCCTCGTTTCCAGTGAAAAGGGTTTCCGGTTCTCTACACTGACCATACAAAACATAGCAGTGTTAAACTGCTATTTTACGCTGGTAATCTGTAAGAGCGTAGACCCCTCGAGCCGACCCATTCGTGCTACAACTATACTACTAATATAGCTGCAGCATGGCTCTACCACGTAAGAATAATGTGTGTATGATTATATATAACTTTTTAGTGTTGGAAAAATACGCCGATCAACTGATTGCTGAAGGTGTTGTCACTGCCGAAGAAGTGAAAGATGTTAAGGACAAGTATGAAAAGATCTGTGAGGATGCTTACAATCAGGCCAAACAAGAGACTCATATTAAATACAAAGACTGGCTTGACTCGCCTTGGTCTGGCTTCTTTGAGGGCAAAGACCCATTGAAGGTAAGCATTATTGAGTATTAAGAGAATAATTAGCCAATTATGTCAGGTGTGGTGGTGTTAAGAGTGTGTTTATTTACCTGGTAAAGTAAATGACTAAAAAATCGAATATAAATTCTTATTGTTATTAAATTCTAGTGTTCGTAGTAAAAATGTAAATTTCAGTTTAATGAAATATCTCTTAAGCCTGCCTGCTTTTATCCAAGAATTTTTGTAATACAAATTTTATTTGCTCCTTATTATATTTGTTATTCTACTTTGATTAATAGATGGTTACAAAATAAGAAGCTTATATCAGAATATGTCGTATGTAAATTGAATAGTTCCGACAATGTATTAATATTCTAGATGTCTCCAACTGGAGTTGTCGAGGAAACTCTCGTCCACATTGGCAAACGTTTCTCATCTCCTCCACCCAATGCTGCCGAATTCGAGATCCACAAGGGTCTGCTTCGTATTCTTAAATCTCGTATGGAAATGGTGGAAAATCGCACTGTTGACTGGGCTTTGGCTGAAGCTATGGCGTTTGGATCATTATTAAAAGAAGGCATTCATGTTCGCCTGTCTGGAGAGGATGTTGAGAGAGGCACATTTTCACATAGGTAAATAAAAAAATTACATGTAATTATAGATAGACGATTATTTAAATTTTACAAAATATAAATAATAGCTGGTACCCGGCGCATTGCTGCCGCATTGCTGCCGTCCCGCAGTGGGTTCTAAAGGCTGAATAAGAAGTATAATAATTCTAAATTTACATAAAACATAGCTTTTTTATATAACAAGAACTTTATTCTTTGTTTTGAAAGTATTTTGAATCCATGATCTCTAAAAATTTCATAATGTAGTACACTAAGTACATCAAAGAATAACTTTAATTTAAATAATATCTAAATAAATATCATTTTATTGCCACATTAAAAAATAACATGTACATATTATTAACTAAGTGCTTCATCTTAATTAAATTTAAGCAATTGGAGGTGACTCAGCTTATGCTTATACGGGACTAAGATCCCATGAAGCGCTTGTTTTCAGGCACTCCTTCCTCCCTGAGAATTACAATGTGTAGTTGTAAATGAAAACTTTGTGCGTGATTCTTGTCAATAAAATACTATTTTGCTATACAGGCATCATGTGCTTCACCACCAGAAGGTAGACAAAGCTACTTACTGTCCACTTGCCCATCTTTATCCGGATCAAGCTCCCTACACTGTTTGTAACAGCTCCTTGTCTGAATATGGTAAGTGCAGTAATATGTTAATGCTCTTCCACAGGTACATATTATTTTTATTTTATACCATCTAACTGTAGTAATGTAGTAATTCAAAAGGCAATCATAAGTTATGAAGTAACAGTTGATAGTGAGGTTACTTGTATTTTGGTCAATGTTACAATTACCAGTTGATTAAATTTAAAGTTTACAGTACAGTTATGGTGGTAATTATAGTTATAGTGTGGTTATCAGCCTACAACACCAGGATGGAAATATAAGCAGTTGCCGTAAATTTTTGGTACGCGAGTGTGTAACCGTAGTCCTATACCTGCCGGTACCAATTTACCACGTGCTCAGCGGTAAAGCAAAACATCGTGGGGAAATGGGCATGTCTAAGATATTAAAAGAATATTTCGAGGTCATGTGAAGCTCACAAACACGCACTGGCACAGCGTGACCTGTTTCCAGCAATGGGTCGTGTTTAGGTTATAACTTAATTATAAATAAATTTATAATAAGAGACAAAAATACTTTATGAATATTCTGTTTATCAGGTGTACTTGGCTTTGAAGTAGGCTATTCAGTTACAAACCCGAACGCGTTAGTGCTATGGGAGGCGCAATTCGGTGATTTCAACAACGTAGCGCAGTGTATTATCGACCAGTTTATCTCCAGCGGACAGGCCAAGTGGGTGCGCCAGTCTGGCATTGTGCTGCTTCAGCCTCATGGCATGGAGGGCATGGTTAGTATTAAAATACACTATAAAATACTACATTTTAAGTAGAGGTTGTTACTAATCTGACCAAAATTGCAATAAATAATACACAGGACAAATACAAGCATATTGTACAACTGGTTTTAAACAATTTTTGAAGGAAAAAATCAAGTGCTGTTTCTTTTTTCTTACACACACACACACACACACATACATATATATATATATATATATATATATATATATTATACATATATACACACACAGACATATATATGTATATATATATATATATATATATATATATATATATATATATATATATGTACATATATCTCTTACTTATTGTATATAATCTTAATAGGGACCAGAGCACTCTTCAGCCCGCTTGGAACGTTTCCTGCAGATGAGTTCTGATGACCCTGACTACATGCCCCCAGAAAGCCCAGACTATGAAGGTAATAGTATTAAAATATATTCATTTTTATATCTTAAATGTATATAATACTTTGTGCTGTTGAGCGTCGTCTTTATGTATCTATATGACCTGTAACTTTTGAATGACTCAACCGATTGCCTTAATCACACAATATATTCGTTTTGTCGGGACGATGGTAATAACTATGCTATAATCTGATAGGTGGCGCTGTAGTCAAGTTATTAACAAATTATTTTTTTCATAGGCTTAGTGCCAAAAAAGCAAATCACAAAATGACAAATTTATCAAAAGTTATGTAAGTACACACTGAAGCGCCTCAATAGTCTATTCGCTTAGATACGGTCGCCTTTGTGTTGCACCGCCTTGTTACGTGCCGCATTTTGTCAAAGGCGCCGCCGCGACATCAATTATTATATATATTATTATACTATATATATTATAATATATATAGTATTGGATGTACTGTAGCGATTAATTGGACATAATTACGCAAAAAAATCTTACCAACAAAGGGTTACTTTTGAAATATTGACATTTGAAGTCTTTTAAAAGTTTCTTACTGTGGGGGTATCGTTTCTTTAAAATAAAAAAAAATCATGTACCAACGTTTAGTGATAAAGATTTTGTTGGAATTTCTTTTATTCTATGAAAAAATAGATCCCAAGGGTTATTTTTGAATAGGTGCATAAGTTGGTTTTTGAGCCGACCGCAGGTTGGATCCTTTTTGTTAGAGTAGATAAAATGTTGTGTGCGCAGTGCGGCAGCTGCACGACAGCAACTGGATCGTGGCGAACTGCTCGACGCCGGCGTCGTACTTCCACATCCTGCGGCGCCAGATCGCGCTGCCCTTCCGCAAGCCGCTCATCCTCATGACGCCCAAGTCGCTGCTGCGCCACCCCGAGTGCAAGTCCTCCTTCGACGACATGAACGACGCCACCGCCTTCAAGAGGTACCCACACCCGCATCCGCACCCACTCTCTACATACTCAAACCAAATGTTCGATTCACGTTTATTTAAAGCTCTTTTAAACGTTATAATCTACTGTCGGAACTGTACGAAAGGGTACACCACTCTTGTAGAACTATCACATCACATCCAAATCCGAAAATCACCAACATTGGGTTTGAACATTATACATTGACTATAACAGTTCATTCCTACCTCGAACTGGTTCAATAGGTATCTAAAAGATTTATCTGTCAAAAATATTAAGCAGTTGATTATGCAACCTGATGTTTTATTTAACCAATAGTTGTTTTAAAAATTTGATGATGATTTTTCTTTATTTTTAAGTATATTATATATTTTTATACATTTTTATGTATTTTATACCAGCTAAAATTTTTTAAGCTTTATGAAACTGATGTTATTTAGTGGTGGTTTTTATTATAGGTGTAAAAATCAGTGTGCAGTGTATTTATTTATAATTGTATTTTATATGTTAAAAATATTTTAAATCTCTTAGAAACATATAATCTATGACACTTAAATGTACATATACAGATTGATTCCGGAGGAAGGTCCAGCGTCACAATGCCCTCAAAATGTGCGCAAGCTGGCGTTCTGTTCGGGACGTGTCTACTACGATATGCTCAAGGAGAGGCGCGAGCGGGGACTTGAAAAGGATATTGCTATTGCCAGGTAACGTTAATATTATGATTTAAGATCCGTTTATTTTGAATTCGTAAAGATTGTAACAAATATAGCGACTCTCACTCGACCAAATACAAAGCAGTGATACTGAAACGACTTCAGTGAATCAATTGACAGCCCGTGTGAAATGTTGAAAGCTTTTTCATGGAATAAAGGTGACAGACATGCACACAGTCCACCTGATGATAAGTGGACATTGTGGCCTATAGAAATTTACATCTATGCTCGATTAAGATTGTCAGTCACCTCTGAGGACTAAAATGGAATGCCTCATTTTCATAAAAAAGGGTCTCCGGTTCTCTACACACACCATATGAAACAGCAACATTAAACTGTTATTTTACACTAGTATTCAGTGAGAGCGTGGTTATTCCCCGGTCGAACCGACACATGCGTCTACTAACAAAAGTCTTAGAATAGGGACTTGTGTATACCAAAAAGTCAATTTACAGCCTGTATACATCCACATCTCACAGGGTTATGTGTGTACACTTATCACATAATTGTACAGACTGGAGCAGATCTCGCCGTTCCCGTACGATTTGATCAAGGCTGAAGTGGCCAAGTACCCCAACGCGCAGCTGGTGTGGAGCCAGGAGGAGCACAAGAACATGGGCGCCTGGAGCTACGTGGAGCCGCGCTTCCGCACTATGCTGCAGAACCAAAAACAGATCAGGTAACGACGAAACAATTACTATTTATATTTTACAGTGGATTTTCTTAAATCTTTCAGTAAAAAAAATATTACTCCCACACTAAGACTGTGTGACAAAAATCACAAAACAAAAATACATTGCACATTTAGACTAAATACACTTTTTTAGGCCTAGTTCCGCTCGCGACTTATGCTGCTGGGGGCAAGCGGAGCAATAAAACCAAGGCGACCCCTGTCACGCTATCCGTGAATTTTTGCAACATCAGGGGACTTCATTCCAACCTTAACGCTGTCCATTACCATCTAGAGACGGCGAAGCCGGCCTTGCTCTTTTTGACCGAGACTCAGGTGTCCTCTTCGGCTGATACTTCATATCTCTCCTACCCGGGGTACAAATTGGAACACTCCTTTGTGCCCCGGGCTGGAGTCTGCGTATACGTCAGAGAGGACATCTGTTTTTGACGCCTCGACGACACAGACCGACTCATCTACCACCTCCAAATGGCTGCAGACTCCGTGCTACAACAGGTCCCATCCGCAGAGATCGTGATACTCGGTGATTTTAATGCCCACCACGCTGAATGGCTTGGTTCTCGTTTAACCGATCATGCGGGTAGATCTGTCTATGACTTTGCCTTGGCATATGGTCTAACACAACTGGTTACTTCGCCTACGCGGATCCCAGATGTGGAAGACCATGTACCTTCCCTGTTGGACCTTCTGTTGACCTCTCATCCGGACGGATATCAGGTCTCCGTCGATGCCCCTCTGGGCTCTTCGGACCATTGTCTGATCCGGAGTACGGTGCCACTCACGCTCCAATCGCAGTTGCGATCTGCAGCTTGTCGCCGTGTTTGGCACTATAGGTTAGCCGATTGGGACGGGATGCGGTCTTTTTTTGTATCCTACCCTTGGCGGGTTTGCTTCTCGCCGGAAGTTCCCAGCGTTGTTGCCGATTCTGTTGCTGATGTGGTACTTCAGGGTATGGAACTTTTTATTCCATCCTCTGTGGTGACCATCGGAGGCAGATCCCAGCCATGGTTTGGTCGCTCCTGTAAAATAGCTTCACGCTATAGCGTAGGCCTGGTTATAACCAGGCCTGGGCTGACGCATCAACGTCTCGGGATGTCAACACCAGTGCACTTAAAAAGAAGTATGATTTCACCTCCAGGTCCTTCAAAAGCGCCATTGCCAAGGCAAGGTCTGAGCACATAGGCAGAATTGGTGAGAAGCTAATTCGCCTTCCTTCGGGAACCCGTGCATTCTGGTCTCTCGCCAAGGCTGTCTAAGGGAACTTCTGTCAGCCATCTCTTCCATCTATGCACAGAGAGGACGACGCACTGGCCCATTCCGCAAAGGAGAAAGCCGATCTGCTGAGCTCTCTCTTTGCGTCCAACTCGACTCTAGATGACGGGGGGAACACACAGCCGACCATCCCGCGTAGTGAGTGCTCCATGCCGGATGTGCGGTTTACACAGCGCTCGGTTCGCAGAGCACTCTTCTCCCTGGACATCCAGAAGTCGAGTGGGCCTGACGGAATCCCCCCAATTGTGCTGAGGACGTGTGCTCCTTTTCCGATATTCCGACTCCCTAGGCGTTGTCCCGAAATCATGGAAGACGGCTTTTGTTTACCTGATCCCTAAAAAAGGCGGCTGCTCAGACCCGTCCAACTACAGGCCTATTGCCATCACCTCCTTGTTCTCCAAAATAATGGAATCCATTATAAACTGCCAGCTCATGAGGTACCTTGAGGATCACCAGCTGATTAGTGATCGCCAGTACGGTTTTGGTCGGGGTCGATCAGCTGGTGATCTTCTAGTCTATCTGACTCATAGATGGGCGGAGGCAGTAGAGTCCAAGGGGGAGGCATTGGCCGTTAGTTTGGACATAGCGAAGGCCTTCGATCGGGTCTGGCACAAAGCGCTTCTTTCGAAGCTTCCTTCCTATGGGCTTCCCGAGAATTTTGCAAATGGATCACCAGTTTCCTTGCTGATCGGAGCATCAAGGTCGTAGTAGACAGTGCATGCTCTGATTTCAAGCCTATCATCGCTGGTGTTCCACAAGGCTGCATGCTATCACCAACGCTGTTTCTCCTGCATGTAAATGATATGTTGCAAGCTGGTAGTATTCATTGCTATGCAGACGACAACACTGGTGATGCCTTATACACCGGCCGTGCCAATATTTCTCGGGAAAACGTCGCCGAGTACCGGGACAAACTTGTGTCTGAAGTCGAGTCTTTGCTTAACAAAGTCTCGGATTGGAGGCGACTAAATCTAGTCCAGTTCAATCCCCAGAAGACACAAGTTTGCGCGTGTACCGCAAGAACCCCTTTGTCGTATCTCCTTCACCTTGCTGCCTCAGCTAGCATCGGAAACCTTGGCGTCGATATATCGAATAGTGTGCAGTTTCGTGGTCACTTGGAAGGGAAGGCCAAATTGGCCTCTAAAAAGCTTGGCGTGCTCAGCAGAGCGAGACAGTATTTCATTCCGGCACATCGCTTGCAACTTTACAAAGCGCAAGTTCGGCCCCACATGGAATACTGTTGTCATCTCTGGGCCGGGGCACCGCAGTGCCAGCTCCTTCCACTTGACCGCATCCAGCGCAGAGCGGTTCGAATCGTCGACGACCGAGTTCTTTCTGATCGGCTCGATACACTGGCACTGCGTAGAGATGTTGCATCTCTTTGCGTTTTTTATCGCATCTATCACGGGGAGTGCTCTGAGAAATTGTTGGGACTAATACCAGCCGCTTAATTTCACCATCGCACATCGCGACAAAACTCGCGTTACTATCCATACCATCTGGATGATTGGCGGTCTACCACTGTGCGATTTAGAAGATGTTTTCTTCCTCGCACAACTTCCTTGTCGAATCGATTACCACCAGCGATTTTTCCGGACCGATACGACTTAGGAACCTTCAAGAAAAGAGCTTACATCTTTCTAAAAGGCCGGCAACGCATCTGCAATTCCCCTGGTATTGCGGTTGTTCATGGGCGGCGGTAGTCATTTACCATCAGGTGAGCCGCAAGCTCGTTTGCCCCCTCTTCTATAAAAAAAAACCTATATTTAGGTTTATGTGACAAGAATTTGAAGGCCATACAATGTTAAAGAAATTAAATTTTTTAAAGAAAAATTCTAATTAAATATTTTATTCGTTGCTTGCCCTTAGTCGATGATTATTACATATCTAAAAGATTAAAAAAATAATTAAGAAGTGAAAAGAAAAAAGCAGCAAGTAAGTTTAAATAACATCATTCCTGTACAAACATATTATTATAATATAAATACTACATAAGTTGATGAATTGAATTTTGGTTGTTGTTGAAGTTGGAATTGTCTATATGAGCTGTAAAGACAGGATTTAAGAATAGTACTTTACTTTGTAAGGTCCGAGTTTACAAAAAAGTTTCTACTCTATCCAACAGAAACGGAATTTTTAACTTAAATTAGTGAATACAAATTGCTCCAATGAATGCACTAGATAATTATACCGACATCTAACGGTAGCCATAATGATTTTTTTGGCATTTTCCATAGTCACGTCTTACGAAGCTCCGCGATCTTAGCACCTCATGTGTGGAATTTCGATTGACCAATTTATACCATCTGAAAGGTCAGACTTTAAAAAAATTCTAACGCTACCCATTTAATAAGACCAACTGACCTTTTATGACCAATTTCTGACCTTTCAGATGGTATGATTGGTCAATCGAAATTTCGCACATGAGGTGCTAAGATCGCGAAGCTCTCTTACGACACCCACGGGGCAAAATAAGACGACGAATTCTCTAATGCCGTCACCACATAATAATGTTTATTGAGATAATGCTTATTATCTGAGCAATTTCAACAAAAATGGCATCAAATAATAAAACTACCCCATATGTCAATCAATGAGTTATTCTTTGTATAATTCTGTTTCAATTTTATGTACGCTCTTGCCGCGACCATCAACACCATGTGTTTACTGCTATTGTTATGGTAGGAAAGCAAAAAATCACTTATATTTGTAAAAACTTAATAAGAAATTATTGTTTTTCATTAATCGTGCACGGAACCTGCCACCTCCGCAAAAATGAGAATTTCGCCAACAGTGAGATTTAAAATCTTGCCATAATTTTTATTGTAAGACTATCGAAACATATTTCAAAATGACTTAATTCAAAATGACGTAACTTTATTTTTAATGATTTTGGTACAAACAATTATCTATAAAACGAAACAGATGCTTGGTCGAAAACAGATAATCTTAGAGCTTAAATTATACATATTTTAGTTTTTGTTTTAAAAATATATTTAAAAGTAATAAAGAATTTTTCGAAATTACAATAAAAACAAAATGAAAAAGACAAAAAAATTTCCTACTTATAAATTGCTCATTAACAAAGTAACGTAGGTATATGATGAATGAATGGCTTTTTATTAATCTAAGAAAATATTTAATATATTATTACAAACAGTATAACAGCCCACTAAAAATAAATAAATATTTATTACCAATTTTAAATACTCCATTACCTAATCGGCTGTTGGTTCCAGGGCAAAGTCCCAATCGCAAGGGGGTAGTTGGCTAAGCCAACTTTTCGGCTCGTCTCAGCCAGCCCCACAAACTGACAGTATGGAAACAGAATCTGTGCCGAGAATCATTAGGTGAGAACATGAGAGAATATAATGCGCACTGTTGGAAAAGCTTTTTAATAGACAATATTTTTTATAACTTTATCAAGTCCAAAACTATGAAAAAATATTAGTGTTTTTAAATTTTATTTCTAAACATGCATAACTTACCACATATTTATATCATTAAAATGAGTTCTCTGACCGTAAATTATAATTTCCACTAGAGATCATATTATTTCGCACATATTTCTAGACTGGTATTTATTATTTTGACGAATAATAAGAAACTTGAAATAGCGTTAACATTTAATGAATTTCAAATTCAAAATATTTTGGTACTGTAATACTAAACAATAGTATTTTATGGTAAATAATATAATAAATAGTTTCAGAAATATGATTGTGCTAGAGTCGTCTATTTAATGTATATGTGTGTCTACGTGAATTTGAATGTTTTCAATAAAATTTTAAGTAACGTAATGTTGGTTCACGTTCTATTTCCATTACTTCACAATAATTGCAATACATTATGTGAAACCTGCATTATGTAACATATGCACTAAATCAACAATAAAAAATGCATTATATGTTAAAAACTATAAAGTTGATATTTTTCTAAGATATAATATATTTTTGAAGTTTTGACTATTCAGATATTTTTGGATTCTATTATTTTTATCTTATAAAGTCTAGTCATAGTTTTTGTCAAGTTCGTTTGTTCGTGTTTATAATATTAATGAACTATACTTTACCTATATTAAGTAATAATTAAAATATTCTTCTTATTTTGAGAGTGTTATGTTGAAAATCTAAGCCATTAATACAATCATATCAATACTCTGCGTGTTGCATCACGTTTATGCAAGAATAAAACCGAAACTTCAAACTCTAATAGAAATTACTACGTTTATGTGAAATTAGTCTTTACGCCTCACTCAACTTTACTATTACAGGCAAGATTCAACTTTATAACTATATGCATAAAGCCTTTTCTTCTTAGGGCATGTTAGTAATCGCGAGTGTTTTGGCATTTTCACATTAAAAGAGGGAAATGTTTGAATGAACTGGATTGACCTAAAATATGAAAGAAGGCTAGACATTCTTTCATTGATGAACCGGCGATTGAAAAATTAGTCTTGCTTTACGTGTGCCTCACCGGCTTCTAAAGAAGCTAGAAATCCAAGAAAACCTCAAGCTGCGGACCAACGTGCCGCGCTACTTGAGGAATGCTACCATTGGAAGAGAACTCAAGACGGAAAATCTGGACGCATTCGTGCGGTGATTAATGCAATACCTTCTGAGGGAAAGACGCTTCTTGATCAATGAAAAATTTGAACCCTCTACGACTTCAAGAAAAAGGCTTGCTATCTGGGCGTATCCGAACGGTTACTCATCCTGGACCTGGACCGCGACCACATGCGACTGTGGACGGCCAAAGCTCCGGAACCGTTCCCCACTTCACCCAGGAGCTAGAAATGACAGACGAGAGTTTTAAAGATGATTATTTTGGGAACGTGTTAGTGAAATTCAATCAGGTAAACGAGTATGAAGAATCGACCTACGACATCTGCGAGAATTAAGGACCTCTGTGTATAAGCTTAGCGGCTTTGGATAACGTAATCGGACGATTGCATTGTGTGTAGAGAGGTACATTCATTTCTCATCCTAATTGGCATTTTTACTTACCGCATGTAAAGTATTTATTAATGCCAAATGCCAGGTCGTGTATAATTGAAATAACCTTTATCCAATAGTCGACTTAAAAAGGCGGTTGATACGAATTTAATGGTTAGAAAATAAATGTTTGACATTATAGTTTATGGTTTGGAGACTCATTTCTTATCGGCATCCCCATGTCTGTTCTTTAGTATATAATTAATAGACCGTTAATTTAAACTTGTCTCTATGCTTTATTCTGCCTATTTGTTTACTTCAATCTATAAAAATCTATACTTTGTTTCTTCTGAACATACTAAATAATAGAAATAGCTATATGAATTATTATCCGTGCTTCGTGTTGTTATTTTTAAGCTGTTAAATGTTAGAGGCTGGCTGGATGTGTTTTTTTTAAAATGTAAATGTTTATTTCAGTGTGACTCATTTTTTCTGGTGAGATTGATACTAATTTTGGGGATGATTTAAGCTGTAAGATACAATTTTATTTAAATTAGAACTTACAAATAATGCAAATAGTTTGAATAGTATTTGGTAGCATGGTGCAGTAAAATTAATAAAAAATTACATTGTATTTAATGACCTTATAAACTTACAAACATATGGCCAGTATATTTTTATTTTGGTACTCATCGGTTCAACGTGAATCTCTTATTCTGGCTGGCTTCCAAACTATAATAATTATCTTAAATGTACAGACATGTTCACAGTTTTGGTCTCAAACTAGTAAGAATGGCTGCCAAATACAACGGATCGGTCTGGGATTAAGCACGTTCATTCTAGAAAATTAATTATCAGTAATTTTTTGACAAAGTAGGCTAAAACACATTTTCTGCCCAATGTGTCGCATAAATCTATCTATACTCGTATGTATATGTAAAAATCAATTGCCATGCGTGAGTCGCGCAAAAACTCGAAAATGGCTCGACCAAATTTGATGAAATTTTTTGTGTGTTTGAGTGGGTTTAGATTCAAAATTGCCCCAGTAGGCAGCGCTGTTATCGAGATCCACAAATCACCCGTGCTACGCTGGGACGGAACGTTAATTATTGATAATAATAATTAGAACGAGTTATTGAATAGCGCTCGAAGCCGCTAAGTTGTGATTCTGTTCGATACGCATAACTATCACCACACGGAATTCGAGATACATTTTATGATATCTTCGATGTCTCCATACCTTTGTTTTGTTTAACAAATCCCAAGATACGAGATTTGCTCTTGCATCATGAAAGTGACTGGCTTCTATATTGAAAACGTTTAATGTTCATGATGGCTTGTTGAAGAAATGTTCACTTTAAATATCTGTTTGCGTGCCTATCAGAAAATTTTACAATAAAGTCTTCCTTTAGATGCTTACCACCCACAGAAACATTGTGTAATATTGTATATTGTAAAACTTTTGCTGTGTAAAATTTATTTATTCATTCTCTCCTTACCACAACTTGTGCTTAACTTAGTTGCGAACGTTAATATTACTAAATTAAGTGACGCCTATTAACTTGTCATGTAACTGTAACAAAAAAAACTTACTCTATTGTTTTTATGACTACACTGTATACATATATAGTCCATTGCTGTACGTACTGTCTAGAGCTGGTGGATTTACCATGATCACACTACTGCCAAAACTTTTAGATATGTCATAGGGATATTGTCAAATTCATGATATTATTTTTTTTTTGCGACCGATTCATACGATTGCACGTGTATTGTTATTGTGATATTTATAATAACCGTAGGTATATTATGCGACGAGTTTTTGGTGGGGGATTTTATGATACACAACTTTCTTTTTTCTTTCTATAACAACCCGTATAAGTTTACTGAAGGATTCACAAATATGCACCTAAAACCACAACATTCATTGGAGGGAGAGAAGAATCTTTGTACATACAGTAGGAATTTATAAGATTAGGCGAAATTTATACGAGCTTTATTATGAAAGATCATATAATAGTGGTGTTATATTTAGAGATTATGTAAAAACTTATTCTAAAATATTTCAAAAAGTGTGCTCCACAGCTAAGGCTTTATATTTAAGTAACAAAATTAAAACTGCATCTAATAAAATAAAAATGACCTGGAGAATAATAAATAGTGAAACGGACAAGATCAAACCGCGCAACTCGGATTTTCAATTGAATATTAACAATAATTTAACTCGATCTGATCAAGAAGTTGCTTTTGAGAAACATTTTACTGATGTTCCTTTTTTGACAACTAAATCATTAAACTCTTCTCCTACTGTCGCCGAATCATTGCTGAAACAAAATGTAAACGCTTGTTCAAATACTTTAAATTCCATAGAGTACTGCCAAAAGATATCGTTAAATATTTTAAAACTATTGATGTTAAGAAAACGGCAGACTTAAGGGGGATTTCCGTTAAAGTTCTTTTATCTATAATAGATATAATAGCACCTTATCTAGCCACTATACTTAATACAAGCGTCGAATCTGGTGTGTTTCCTGATTTAATGAAACATAGTAAAGTCATACCTTTATTTAAATTTGGTAGTACATTAGGCCCCGCCAATTTTAGATCAATTTCTGTATTACCAACATTTAGTAAAATTTTTGAAAAAATAATTTTAGATCAGATGTTAAGTTTCTTTGATATTAATAAATTTCTACATAAAAATCAATTCGGTTTTACAAGGGGTCGACAACTGACGCTGGAGTTGAGCTTATTAAACATATTTTTTGTGCATGGGAAAATTCAGAGGATGTTTTGGGTATATTTCGTGACCTTTCCAAGGCCTTCGACTGCATTCACCATGAGACATTAATCAGGAAGCTACAGTACTATGGTGTCAAGAACACAGCGCTTAAACATATTATTTCATATTTAAGTAATAAAATGCAGAAAGTTATTATGAATGGTAAAAGTTCTTCCGGGTCACCTGTACTAATGGGTGTCCCTCAGGGCTCGATTCTCGGCCCATTCCTATTTATAGTGTATATTAATGACTTACCTTCTCTTGTAGGGGATAATCATGATATAGTATTATTTGCTGATGATATTTCCTTGATTTTTAAACTTACACATCAATCATTTAAATGTGACGAAGTGAATAATGCTATATCAAAATTAGTGCAGTGGTTTAACGTTACTAATCTACATTTAAACGGAAATAAAACTAAATGTATTAAATTTACAACAACGAATGTTAGAAATCTGAGTACCAATGTGTTTTTAAATGGGAAAGAACTGAGCCCTGTTGAATCCACTGTTTTTCTTGGCATCACTCTCGACGCAAAGCTTCAGTGGGGCCTCCATATGTTCAAACTAGCAAGCAGGCTAAGTTCTGCAGCCTATGTTGTAAAAAAGATTAGAGGTCTCACTAGTGTCAAGACAGCTAGATTAGTTTATTTCTGTTATTTCAGTAGCATAATGTCTTATAGGATTTTTCTATGGGGAAATGCGAAAATGAAAAACTATTTTTGTTTTACAGAAGAGGGCCATTAGAGCTATTTACAACCTAAAACCGAGAAAGTGTCTTAGAGATAATTAAAAAAAAAATATATTAACTTTGGCCTCTCAGTATATTTACGAAAATTTAATGTATGTTCACAAAAACAAAGGTAGTTTTAGTAAAAAAAAGTGATATACATTCTGTAAACACTAGGAACAAACACAAGCTAGTGATACCAGATTCTCGACTCCAGAGTCAGTAATTCATTCTTGGGGCAATGTATACGCTATTACAACAAGGTCCCGGAAAGTGTACAGGCTCTCTCTATTACAAAGGTTAAATGTTTTGTTAAGTTGAAACTGTATAAAAAGGGTTATTATAGTATAAATGAATACATGGTTGATAAATAACCCCTGAGAATGAGGTGGTCGCTTCCAAGCTGTTTCTAAAATAAATTTTGTACATATATAGTTTGTACAACCATTAATGTAAAATTTGCTTTTAAAAAAAGTCCCGCTGGGTTTCTTGCTGGTTCTTCCCAGGACAGAGGTTTTTTTTCGAACTAGTGGTAAAGTAAAAAATGACTTTCAATAAGAATTCTATTCTCTTCTATTCTATTCATATTTTCTTTTTTATTTAAGAGACAAAAGTTTTATGTGAATAATTTTGTTTAAATTTTAAAAATATTTTTAGTTAATGTAATGTAAAACAGGGTTTAATGTTACAATTATATTTCAGCTACAACGGTCGTCCAACCGCCGCTTCTCCGGCCACGGGTTCCAAGGCGGCTCACAACAAGGAGCTGAAGAATCTTCTCGACGAATTTTGCGTGCTATAAAAGACGTAATTTTACCTTCTAAAAAAAATTTCAATATTATACAATAGACAAACCACCGCCAACGAATAATCAAACTTAACAAAATCGTTTTATATTTGCCATTCAATAAGTGTCTCTAATAATTTATACTGCCAAAATAGTCGATCGCATGCATATTACTATTTATTGCTAAATTTAAACGAATTTTTGTTATCGCGTTTCTCCACTGACCTATTATTTTTTTATTTTACTGTCAGTATTTTTGCAACAATTCTCTTTGCGTTTAGGTAGATTAGAAAAAGAACTTATTTATTTATTTAATTGTAGCGTAATACGTGATACGTAGCGTTTATTTAATGTTTAATATTTAGAGCAATACTGTTACTGTAGTCACGTAACGAGAAATTCATTATATTGTTTTAATGTTGCTAGTATCTTGTAAATAAATACAAATTTATTGTTCTGTTTAAACCTTACATAAATCACGAATATTTGTCGTTTAACGGGTTTTAATTTAATAAGTTCGTTTTGTTAGTCAAAACCAACTATAGTTGGCGAGGCTATATAATAATATTGTATAACAGTTAGTCTTCTATAATATACAATCTTTTAATAACGGCATCATGTAACTTGAATACAATTGACGCCGTGTAAAAATTAAAAAATCTTAAATGCTTGTAGCTCACCAACTGCATCATAAAACTCGTATGACGATATAATGTGAGATATTATTAGTTTATAGCCGTGAAATACAAAAAAAAATGTAAGTAGGACATTATTAAAAGTTGAATAATGTTTCGCCAATTTGTTATATTTTGCAACTGCTGCCCTGTGCATATAATTTTAGTTCTCACGTAGTTACCGCCGTTCTGAACGGCTTAACCCTTAAGTGCATAGTTTATCAAAACTGATAATACGGTTTTCTAGACTCCTAATTCCTGAACGAAAGTCGTTTAACCGGAAATTTTGATTTCTGAACGTGTCGTTATATGTCATAGACTCGTCTGTGATTGGTTTATTCAAATACTTACATGTGATTGGTCCAAAGTTTAAAGTTTCGATGACAGCGCAGACAGTTTGTAGAGTAAAACGAATTCGTAATTTTCATCCGAAGAAATCTTACAAATAAAAGTGTGTTCAACTAATAAAAAAATTATTTTTTGGAAGGTTAGTATCTATATTTTGTGTCCATGTTTTAATTTTTCAATAAAATTGTACATTTGGTAAAATTTTTGGGCTTGAAGTTTGTTATCAAAAATGATAATGTATGCAGTAGCGGTAAAACTTTTTCGATATATGGGTTTATTATTTTTTAATGTTTTTTTCGGATTCGTTTCTTTATTTAAGTTTTTTTTTAAACAGATATTTGTTTTTAGGTTTCTAGCAGCGGACAATGAATGACGAAGACATTTCGACACTCTTATGGCGGTTAGAAAATGGAGAGGTATCAGAAGATGAAAGTGATCTAGAAGAGGATGCCTTAGACTATTATGATAATGTCGGTGAGTTGCAAGCAGATCTTGAAAGAGAGAACCAAATACTAGAAGAAATATTGACCGAAAATGATGGGACAGCCCCTGATCCTCCACTAATATTTGATGAACTAGTAGAAAACCAGCCCCATTCCAACGCCACTCCTAGTTTACGGGATTTGATATGGAAAAAGAAGAATTTGGATTTGGTGGATCAGGCTTTTACATTTCTTGGATGTACTGACTACCCTCCGATTATTATGAATTTATCTACTCCTTATCAGTATTTTTCATACTTTTTTGATGAAAGTTTACTCGCAAGAATCGTTACTGAATCTAATAAATATGCCATACAAAAAAATATTAATTTTTCTGAACCAATGACAGTTCTGGAACTGAGAAAATATATTGGTATCTTGATTTATACTTCGGTATATCACTATCCTAGTATAAGATCCTACTGGGCAAATAATGTAAGATTCCATCCAATAGCTGATACGATGACCGTTAACCGTTTTGAAAAAAATCGGGAAATTCTTCATTTTAACGATAATGAAGGTCACTTACCCCGTGAACATCCTGAACATGACAGATTATACAAAATACGAACAATAGTGGACCACCTAAATCAACGATTCATGTCAGTTCCTTTTGATCATAGACTTTCATTAGATGAGCAGATGTGCGCAACTAAAATTTCGCACTTTATGAAGCAGTACTTGCCCAACAAGCCTCATAAATGGGGCTTCAAATTGTACGTGCTCTGTTGTCTGATGGGTTACGCATATTCATTTGAAATTTACTCAGGAACTCATGACTACAAAAGACTACCAAATGAGCCAAATCTTGGAGCAGTTTCAAATACAGTGGTGCGTTTGCTTCGACCTGTACCGAGAAAAGTAAATCATATAGTGTACTTTGACAACTTTTATTCAAGCCTGACTCTGTTTCATCATTTGCACAAGGAAGGCATATATTGCTTAGGTACAGTTCAAAGAAACAGATTAGGAAAAACCTGTAAGCTACCAAAAAAGGAAGATGTACAGAAAACATCTGTACCAAGGGGTTCGTACGACGAGAATGTTGCTTCTCTTGATGGTGTTGAGTTTGCAGCGACTAGCTGGAAGGATAACAAACAGGTCTTGCTGTTATCTACGTATGTAGGTGCAAATCCTGTGGGTACTATTAGCCGCTATGACAAGAAGCAGAAAAAAAACATATCAATACCATGTCCGAAAGTAATTGAAGAATACACATATGGGGGGTGTGGACACAATGGATAGTTATTTAGGGCGATATAAGATCCGAATGAAGTCCAAGAAGTGGACCAATAGACTATTCCAACATATGCTGGACATGGCGGTAATAAACAGCTGGATTTTATACAAGAAAGTTTCACTGAAAAAGAAAACAAATCCAAAAAACATTTTAAAACTTGTTGATTTTCGGACGGAGCTAGCTGAAACTTTGTGCAAGTATGGGGCCGTATCTGAAAATAAAAGAGGCAGACCCAGCATGAATAGACAGGAAAATACGTCAAAAAAGAGACCAAAGATTGGTGCACAGACATTACCACCAAACGACGTCCGTACTGATGGAGTTGGACATGACAAAAGCTACAACACTAAGAGAAATCAATGCAAATATGCAAATTGCAAAAAACTAACTTCTGTAATGTGTACTAAGTGCAAAATATCGCTTTGTGACAATAGAAAAAATAATTGCTTTCAAGTTTTTCATGCTATGTAAAAATAAAATAGCATTAAGTATAAAAACTTGGGTACTTTATGTTTTCTAGTATCACTAAGCAAAAAACTTCTTAATGCATAGTTTATCAAAATTGATAACAACTTTTTTTTGCCAATAAAACTTTTAATATACAGATATAATTTTTTTTATTATTTTTCCTATGATCAGGAGGTCACGCTTTAACACATATATTTTATTCTTTCAAAAATAAAAATTCATGCACCTAAGGGTTAATGTAAGGAATAACACCAAATCAATGCGTATCTTCTATAAAATTTCAAGTTTTTGACGTTACATAATCTTTACATAGAGTATTGTATCTTTCTATGCCTACTAACGAATTGTCTGTTATGATATTTCAAAGTCCATTAACTATTGTAAATTTATATGTAATTTGTGAGGCTTCTCGCTTTGTAAAACTATTTGCATGTATAAAATGCACCGTTTTATTAAATGTGTACACCTAATCATTTTGATCTTCTCGTATTTTGGAATCAGCTCAGGAATGATAGGAACTTTGATAGTATTTTGAATGAAAAGGATAGAATGACAGGCAAATGTTTGATAGGGTCACCTGAGCAAATTTATTGCTACGTATGTTAGTAGTTATTACTTAGCAAATAAATATATGTATATTCAACGAATTGTATTATTTTTATACTGATTGCTGCCCCACATGAAAACCCAATGGATAGTTAATAAAAAAATCTTCAACATAAGTCTTTTCGTAAATCCTCAGAGACAAAAATGTGTCTATTAAATTCTTAAAAAAGGCGTCACCTTTTTATTGAAGTAAAAAATACAAACGAGGACACGGTTCTCCCGATGGTAAGTGGATGCTGTGGACTATAGACACCAGCATCTATCTTCGATTAAGAATTCAAATGCAGGTGCGTTATCACCCATGAGGACTAAAATTGAAAGCGTCGATCTGCTAGTTACGACACCCACGGGATGAAGTGTGGTTGATATTCTTACACCGCCACTACACGATTAACGGTTACGGACTATGAGAGTAAGGTGCACCTGTACCACAATCCTGCCTTACGCAATGGTTAGTCTCCGCGTCACCGCCGCGACCGAAATTCGGTCTGGTGGACATTATTATTTTTATTAAAGCATAAGTATCCGAGAGCGATTTAATGCGTATGAGATAAGAGTGGTAGTATCATAAATCCGAAAACCAATATTATTTTCCAAAATATGTGCGCCGGCGGGCTTCTAACTTTTAATTTATTTGTTTATTTTACTAAAGTTGTTTATTTTGCTAAGAGCATTTTCGAAATTAGTTAAATAAGTTGTAATGTGTGTAAGTTGTAATATGTTGTAATGATCTTAGTATTTTCTCAATTATCTTAAAATTATTAATTGGTAAGTCTTCTAAACTCTACCCATATTATTTGAAGGCAAGTGGTAAAATTAATATAAATAAAATGAGAACATAATCAATGTAGTCGAAGTCTGTTAAATACGCATTATTATGGATAACTAAAAATTACTAATCAGATCTTATATTTATATTATCGGTTCACCTAGAAAAAAGTACAGTCGAATTGAGTACCTCCTCCTTTTCAACCGACATAACCAAATTAAAGCTACGTCTTGTAGCTTTAATTCTATAAGTACACTGTCTTTACAATCGACTTTAGACACAACAATTATGCGGCAGTACAATTAATTACTAACAAAGCAAACACTAGAGAGGGATTTCTTCTTTTCTTGAGTCTTCTTTCTTGACTGCCGCTTGGGAATCGAATGACTCCCAGCGGTTTTTTTTTGCGCCTAAAGCAAGCTACCCTC